ATAAAGGCGTAGAATCTAGCTCTTTTATATCCTCTGGTATCACTTTCTAGAGAGATTCTAGAACCGTTAAGTCTATTAACTAATTAGAATAGAGCTGCTGTCTACCGAAATCCTCTTTAATATCGTTAATTGTCTTGATAATTAATAAATCAAATAGCTTTCACTTATTAGCTGCTGAATAAGGGATGTCTGCTTACCTGTTCTATTTCATAAAATTAGTATTAAATTCTTGAATAATAGATTTGACCTATTAGAAAGTATTTTAAAATTAAGCTTACGTTAGTATATTGTTTCCTTTGAATATATTGCCCCAATGTTGCTTAATCCTGGTAAGGATCTATAAGCTAATTATATATAGAAAAGACTGACGTTTAGCTAGAAATATAAGAGTATAATATTTTTAAAATAGAAATCCTTACCCCTAATAATTATATCGATATATGTAAAGGCTACGATGATATAGAAGGTAGTGAGGATTAGGATAAAATAGAATACCTTTTAGGCGATCACCCTTTATATATATATATTTATAAGATGATATAACGGATATATACTAAGTAATAAGAGATTATAGAAGTAGGGAGAGATTTAACTTTAATAAAACTTACTTTTAATCTCCTCTTTAACTTAAAAGAATTGGTTTTAGTATTTTATAATATAAAGGGCCACGAGGATTAGGAGAGGGATTACTACTAGATGTTTGATATAATATAACCGAGGTCTTATAAGTATTATATCTAGCTATTACTAGCTACTCTTAAGGGCTATAACCTAACTTTAAAGGTTATTTAGCTTATATATCTTAAACCTTCTAATGATTCTCTATAGCTAAGCTTCGATTAGGACTCTCTAATAACTCCTCTTACTAAGCTGGTTAGATATACCCTATACCTATAGCTTATCAAAAGTGATATAGCTTTGTAACTACTGCGTTATATAAGTCTAAATATATACAAGTTATTATTATGCTCTATATATATAGAGCTGGCCTTTATATAGAGCTTTCTACGATTTAACGCTATATCCTTATACTCTCTTAGTATTTATGATATTAGAGCCTTTAACTAGGGAAATGTGACCTATCTAACTCCGGTATATATTAAAGATAAGACTAGTTTAACTATTAAAAGAGAAAAGAAGGTAGGTAGCCTCTTATATATATATTCCTTCTAGGAGGGATGGAAGTTATTCTTTTCTACCCTAAACGCTAGGAATAGGTAAGGAAGAGCTTTATAAAAGGACCTAAGGCTATTGTTACTATATAACCTAACTTAACCTAATTACCATACTATTATTCTGTAATATAATCTTTAAATACTATTAGAATATAAGTTACTCTTTATAGCTATTTGAAGTAAACTATAGTCTAGAACTTATATATTACTAAGCTAGAAATACTTCTAAGATAAGGTCTACTATTAATCTCTTAAACTATATCTAAATATATAAATAAAACGAATTATCCCTAAGGTTATATAAATCACTGAGCTTATAATCGCTTTAATCGATATAGTATATATTTGATAGTAGATACCTTTATTTTACCTGGTTGTCCTTTATCCCTCTGCTGCCCCTTAGGCTGCTCTTTTAGGTGCCTACTTTTTTAAGATAAGCGTGTTATATACTGTGATAAAGATTCTAGCTTAGGGCTAGGTTCTAAATTTACTGCCTTTACTATTCCCCTTATTACTTGCTGTATAGAAATCTCTGCTGAATTTAAGTTAGTGGTTATTATTAGGGAAGGGGAGGTAGAAATATTGGTTTTAGATAGGTAGGCTAATAGCTTCGCGATAGTAATAGGGCTGGGTCTTATTAATTGAGGATTAATATTTATTATATTAAAATTGATAGAGGAGGCGGGGGTTTCGGTGCCTTACTGATTCTCTGATTCTATAGATATTTCTCTGGAAGAACTATTACTATAGCTAACCTATAGCCTTTCGGTAAGATAATATAGTTTAATATTAATATTATATTTATATTCTTTATTAGTATAGGCTAAAAATTCGGTGATTTTAGTAAACTTAGGAAGAATACAGTATACTTCCTAGTTATAGCTAATCCTATTATATATATAAAGTAGATAAGAGTCGATAAGATAACGATGAAGTGAGTCTGGTTACTTAGAAGGAAATTTATGTAGAGGAGGGTTAGATACTAAGCGATAAGATTTACTAAAGTAGATAATACAAATATCTATTAGATATATTTATCTATTATTATTAGATACTAGTTACTTAGGCTATTTAATAGGTATATTTTCCTCTTTATTAAGAATCTAATTAATATAGTTGCCTTACTTACTTGGCTTATAAAGTAGTAGAAGTGTAACTATGTCCTTAGTAACCTAGATATATTAAGTAAGTAATTTATCTTTATAAAAGTCTTCTGCATTAGGACTATAAAAGTTCTCTATAAGCTAAGCTCGTTTAGGAAATATATAGTCTAGGATAGGGAGCTCCTAGTTTTCTTTAGTAGAACTATTAGTATTATATTCCTTAATATTAGATTTACTAAGAAGTATTTACTTAATCTATCAGTTAACTTTAAGTATAGGGATATTATTAAAATAGTCCTTTCTAGCTATCTTATGAGTTTCGATTACTAATGATTTCTAAAGTTTAGCTAGGTCTTTTTTAATGGTCTTATACCTTTGGAAGAGGTATAGAAAGGTATTATAGGTATTCTTAATTATACTAGCTATAGATTATATCTCTACTATAAGCTCTCTTTTCTTATATCTTAGTTATAGAATTTTAGGGTTTTAGTAAATAGTATATTTATAAGTTTCGGTAAGATTAGATAGTACTAATAAATCTCTCTTCTTAAGTATACTCTTAGTAAAGTGTACTAGACCTTCTTAGGAGAGCTGAAGAAGAATAATATACTGAAGGTTATATATAATAAATTGTGATTAGTAATACTTTTTAAATATTATATTACTAGACTACCTAAGTACCCTTTATTACTCCTGGTTAGTAAAATTTTCTGTAAGTAGATAGTTAGCTCTATTGTAAGAGATCCTATCTATTATAGCGAAAATGAATCTATTATATTATATTTAGTAAGTGATATACTATTGACTTTATTTACTATCTAGTAGCAAAAATTGTAATACCTAATATTATCTTTAAATCTAGTATCTTAACCTAACTCCTTAAGCGCCTGCTAGCTTGAATTATAGGTTATTAGTAAAGACCTATTAAGTCTATAGCTATATAGAGTATATCTAAGATATTAAAGGAGAGGTATATTAAGAACCTTAGGCTTCTATTAGAGGGAAAGAGATAAACTACCTCTTAGAACTTATAGCTACTAAATAAGCTTTAGTATAAGGTTAGTATTAGTAAAAGCTCTATCGCGGAAAGTAAATATAATGATCTGTGCTATTAGGTAATATACTAGTTAATAATCGCTATATATAAAGAATTTAGTTCTATTAGTAAGGATTAGTATTAAGGTTAGTTTATAAGAAATCTAACCTAAAATTCTAGCTTACCTATTAGCGCCTTCTAGTTAACCTTTAAGATTATAAAACTCGATAATAGTACAGAGGATATTATGTTTACTTTAAAGGTCTTTTAAATAGAAAAGTTCGATATTACAATAGTAGACTAAGTCTAGAAGATCTTTTAAGGAAATGTACTTTAGAAGATCACTCTAGAAGCTGTTATCCCATTTACGTTTACCTAAAACTAGATTACTAGGTAATAAGCTGTCTTAAGGAAGTAAGATACTAGGTTGTGTACTTATAATAGCGGACTAGAGCTAGACTATAGTAAACTAAATAATTATACTCCTGTGATAAAAGAATCTCGAATAGACCTAGTAATACCGGTAAATCATATTAAAAGTATCTATATCTAGAATATTTTTGTCCTTTATTTATCGGGGAATTTTACGCTCGGCTAGGAATATACCTTCGAGAAACTTTTCTAAGGTAAGTACACTCTATTAGGAATAGATAGGATATAACCTACTCGTTATATCTATTAATAGGTATTCTTACTAATATAGTAATAGGCGAATAGCTTAAAGTATTAATAAAGGTATCGCTAGTATTTATTATATAACTAAAGCAGTTTCTTTTATAATATTTTAAATATCTAATCAAAAAAGTTTATATAGATTATTAGATCCTCTAAAAGGAGAAAGTCTATATAATCCTCATTTAATTGAATATAATATCTATTCCTATATTAGTCTTAGTTATAAGACTTTTCCTAACTAAGTAAGTACTTACTTTCGCTAATAATATTCGATAATAGCGATACCTTCTAAGGTCTTTAGCTTAAAGTTTAGAGGGAGCTATCTAATACTACAAAAATATTCTAGTCTTACTTAAGTTTCCTTATAAAGAATAGGATCGGTCTAGTATTAGTACTCATTGGTTTAAGCCGGATATATAGGCGTAGGTACTATAGAGAAGAATAGAACAAAGACTAGGGTAGGAAATTTATATTATAGGAAACGATAAAGTCGAGGTTGTCTCGAGGTATAGGTAACGAGGATAAGAGAATGAGAGGTATAAGGATACCGGAGGGGAGGGAAGGCGAAGTATATTATAGGCGCTTAAATAGACTGGGCGAAAAGGGAGGGGACTTGAATTCAGCTGAAAGGGAGCCATTTTCGGCGTCGTTTTGGTTGCCAGTAGAAACGAGGGGAAAAACCGTATAAGTCGAGCGTCAACATCAGGACCGGAGGATGACTAACGCTACTGGGCGGGTGCAGAATAGTGGTATTATAGGGCAGTGGGCGGTCAAGGGGCGGCTGGACATCCAAAGTTACGGGTGGAAAGGCAGCCGTTTCTGGCCTCAAAAGCGGTCATTTTCGGCGTCAATCCCACAGGTCCTCATATTCTATGTGTAATTAACGAAAGACATGCACTTTATCATTTATTGAGATCGTTACGCTGTCCATCCGTGACCCTTACGCTGGCTAGGATCAGTGAGTTTATGTATTTCCCGAGGCTTTATAGGGATTATCAATATGTCGGCCGATTACTGCTCAAAAGCCCTCATAACAGCGATACCAGCCACTGAGCCTGATGCAACGCGATTGTGACCTAAAAGATTATGGTCAGTCTGTCGAATTTATAGCCAGAGGGTGTTGCTTCAACATACCACCGTATCGAATCCGTTCCCATCTGACTGTTTTGACAACCTCACTACCATCTTCATTGCTGATCTCATTCTTCCAGATCTTGACCTCGCTAGGGTTGCCATCCTCGGATTTGAGATACGTCATAGCACCAGGAGCACCCTTGACATGTCTGCCCGTCGCAGCCTCCCAAACGCGGCGTCCTTCATACCAGGGAATTTCAGCATCATCAAAAGCATGAACTATCGTGAGATCAAGGCTTTTATCAATGTAGCCCATATCTACAGCGTTCAAGGAAGTAGTATTAACGCCGGTGAGACGCGCCAGTCTCCCAGCCGTGTCCCAGTGGTCCACAATGTGGCTCAACAGCCACTGTTGAGATCGAGGATATCCCATGATAGGAGAGAGCATAGGCGGGGTGAGGCCTTTGAAGCTGTAGGACTCGATGAGATTGGCTAGGCTGCTGAAAGATGCCAATAGGACCACGCCAGCAAATGGATCGGCGTTCTTGATAGCCGGTTGGATAGCTGCTGGGTCAGATGATCCGAATGCAAAACGCTCTGCCACTGCAGTTGTTACTGCAGTTCCAAGACTTTGGCCCACGATGACGATGCGGGAGGTGGGAACCTCTAATGGCCCTGCGGTAAGGAAGTTAATGAGGGACACACCATCCGTGATAAGGCCTTCCTCGGTGGGATTTCCAGTGCTAACACCAAAGCCGCGATAGTCAATTGCAAAGACGTGGACTGGGTTTGATGGGGTAGATAGGCTTAGCATCGAGTTGTAAGTGGCAGGGCGTTGAGCGGAACCCAAATGCGCCGCATTTCCGTGGACTTGCCTGTCAGTTTTTTGCAGTCGGAATCTAGGTTGTCTATCACTTACAGCTAACCACAACTCGTGCATTGGGGTCATTGGCGAGAAGCTTGTAGGCAACTGTCTTCGTGTAGTCCTCCGCTGGGCCCGTAGAGGGATTCTCCATTAATTCCTTTTCGAACTCCAGGCAAAGATGCAAGGGCATCAAATGCCAGCCGTAAATGGTTTCATTGTCGGGCGTAACCAAATGAAACGGTTGGACTTGGGTTCCTTTGGGGATCGGTTAGCAAACATACTTCCGTTGTTCCCCTAGGGATGCCATACTTAAAAATCCAAACTGTTCGACTTGGTTGACATCCTGCCACAAGCTGGGATTGATCTTGTTGGCATAAAGAACACTGTGTTATCTATATTAGCTCACTCTGGAGGTAGGCCCGGGGGGAACTAGATACATACGAACGTTGAACCTCTGGGAAGGTCAAGGAGAGGATACACAGCACGTATAGCAGGCCACCTGCTGCAAGGGACCAGTAAGCCTTCCTAAAAATAGGCTTAAGCTCAACCATTATGCGTTTTGGGGTTGAGTTGATTAATCTCTGTTGGCAACCACCAACGGAGGTGAGCGGACAATCTTGGCGGAGGCGGCGATAAGCGGCGCGTTATCGCGTCTCTCTCATTTCTCCCTTCCATCCTCTCTCCATCCAAACTTCCGTTATAGAATGTTTGTTATACTTCCATCGTGGGTATCGTGATTATATCATTGAATTCTCCATGGCTGAAAAGCGCAAGCTCCCCGCGCGTGACCGCCGCGAATCTGCAGCCAAAAGACGTGTCTCCGAAGCCACGCCGCAGTCTCACAAGAAAAAGGCGCCAACTCCTCGCGCCCCATCCCCCGAATTAGTTGACGCTCCTTTACCAACAAAGGTTAAGGATGGAGATCCTTTGCCTATTGTCCGCACGCGACAGGCACTATCCTTGTCGGACAATGAGTACCAATCAATCGCCGAAAGGTTTGCGATCGCGGCCCCCATCGGTGTTGCATGACTGACATTATTCTGTCTTATCTCAACAGTGCGGTTCTCCTCGCTTCACTCGAACGATCGAAGAAAAAGTGGCTGAGCGATGGCATTCTTGTTCGATACTACACAAAGCCGAAGAAGACGAAGCGCGAGCAGATCGAGAAGAACAACCCGTCAAAGGACACTATGGCAAAAATCGGGCCCTGCGATGTCACCATCGGTCCCCATTTCTTTGATGCTACGATTTACATTGTCAAAGATCCCAGTGCGCCGCCGGCATTGCAATACGCACCCCCGCAACGACCGATGGTTCACTACGGCCACCCTAATAACTTCCAACAATACCGACCGTATCCCACGTCATCCAATCAACAACGACCTGCGCAATATTCTCCCGCTCCTCCAGGTCGCCCTGGGTATACAGGCAGCCACCCTTCGCCCCAACAAGCTCGTGGCCCGAACGCACCCTCTCCTCAAGGAGGACAAAAGCCGCCACATGGGCAAAAGAGCCAGCCAGCCAAGCCCAGTCCAGATCCTGTGATCCAAATGCTAGCCACAAGGGCAGCTGCTGACCCTGAACTTAAGGCCTTGATGCGTGTTGTTGCGTCAAGCCAAGCATCTCAGGAGCAACTCCGGGCTTTCCAAGCACATATCGACGAACTCAATGCAATCATCAAATCAAGAGAGCAGCAAGAACACCGGCAGCAATCTTCAGCAGGACAACCCATTACGCAACAGTCAACCCCCACTCCACAACCCCAGACCCAGACCCAGAAACAACAACATGGTGGGACGAAGTCAGTATCGCTAGAGAAATCCCCACAAACATCGCAGACCCCATCCAAAGGTCCGAAGCAGCCACCTCTGAAGACGGAGACGCAGCCTCCGACCCCTGCGCAAGATCCACCAAGCCAGGCTCCTAAGCCTCCCCAGAGTGCCACCGGGTCGACCGCTGCCAAGGAAGAGCAACCAGCCACAGAACACAGCACCTCCCAGTCTGCGCCGTCCGAAGCAGCGCGCCCAGTGGTTCCGACCCCATCAGCGATTCCTGGTGCTGTAAGCACCCCAGCCACTGCTTCTACTACGCAGCAGCAGACTCCCGTGGTAAACCCGACACCACCAGCCAGCGCTCAGCAGCCAGGAGCACGACCCGGACCACCATATGCCCCCCACCAGCAACCTTCTTATGGGTCACAACCTCCACTTCAGTCTCGACCACCCCAATTTACTACGCCTGTTCCATTCCCCCGCCCGGCTTCAATCTCTTACGTATCTCCACTTGGATCTCCACCGATAAACTACAAGTCTGTCGTGTTTGAATTCACTTCTCCCTTGACTCCATACGGAAGTAGTACTTCAGGTCATGCCGGTTCGGGTGACCGCTATCTTTTTCCTGAGTATACCATTCTGGAATGGCTCCCAGCTGAAAACACAGTCATCGCCTCGTTTTTGGTAGTCCGGAAAGTTCCTCCAAATACAACCTTCCCTCTCGAAACCGCCACAGAAGCTGCCAACTCCAAAAGCAAAGGCAAAGGGGCATCGAAAGCTAAGAAGAGTGAACCGAAAGTCAAAATAGACAAGGACAAACTACCAACCGATAGCCCAGCGCCCAGCCAGCCATGCACACCCACAACGGGAACACCACAAAAGCAGGAACCCACCGATCAAACAGGCATCCTAACCCCCGGGCTCCCAGGGACTCCTGCCAATGAGGCAAATTTTAAGGAATACTGGCAACCAGTAACGTTCCGCATTCACGCCCCTAATGCCAAAATCCTCGAGCCTCTAGCGCGAGTCGTCAAGCCAGCCGACGAGGTGCGCAAATATATGAATGATATCATGGATCGCGCCGAACGTGCGCCGGATGGGTACCTAGCTATGCGGCTACCTCGCGAGGTGCCCTCAGAATCCTTCCAAAGGGACGGAACACCTGCTTCTTCGGGCAATCTCGGTTCCGGAACCCGCAGTCGTCTTTCCCGTGTTCAGCTCGCTGGCGACGAATCGGAGGGGGAGAATTCTGGCTTCGAATTCGAGGAGGATGAAGAAGATCTGAAAGATTTCTATGATGCGCCAAGCGGGTTACCGCCATTGAAAGCATGATGTTAGGTTCATCGAAGGGTCCCTTCGAAACAGATCGGATTTATGTGAAACTCTAAACCGAAGGTGGCACTCGAATGATGCTTGTACTTCCCAAGGTTGTGTAAGGTTTTACGTGTGACAGTTTCTTAAATGTACAACGATGGAATGTTCAAGATCTTGCGTTTAGAGATGTACTACTTGTCATCTCTCAGACCCACGTTTTGCGAAAGTAATACAATGCCCCTGAACTACATATGTTTAGAAGACAGCGACTGGATGGTATAGCAAGATTCTGCTGAAAATGCGATGAGATTTGAGTAGGAAAAATTCAGGCTGGTAGGGCAGGTATTTATTATAGGATTCCGATAACGAATCTCAACACCAAGGACACCAAGCCGCAGAAGTTATACCACGTAGGACATTCAAACAGACGTGCTTGCTCGGCACAGCCCACCACCCTAACCCCTCCCACCAGAATATCTAGACTCATCTCCAATAATACCAGCCGCCTCCAAAAGCCACCTCGCACTCTCGGCCGCCGAATCCCCAGCTCCAGCCTTGATATTGATATTACGACGACGCTCAGCCTCCCGTGCCTCAAATTCCCACTTTGCACGCTGAATCTCCACGGGACCCAAGTTCGTCTCTGCGGATGATGACGCCTCTGGGTCTGGAACGATGCCCCAAATCTCCAGGGTATACAGATCAAGCTTGATCTTTGTGGGCGGGTCTTCGGGCGATGTATTACTAGCGGGTAAGAAGGCGCCGTCGTGTCCAATGGGTGCGGCGTGGAACTCGGCCGTTTCGATGTTCGCGTCGATTATGAGGCTGCCTGCTCCATGCGGGGTCGGGTAGGTTTGGTGCGTGCGGGACGGAGCGGGGATTTGGCAGCCGATTGCGATGCCGGTGTTGGGTGAGAAGTAGGCGATTGGGGTGTTGGGCTTCTTTGCGGATGGGGAGGGGTTTCCCGGGAGGAGGAGGTGCTTTGGGGATAGTTGAAAGAGACAGGGGAGGATGTCAGATGTTTTTGAAGATGAGCCTGAGGTCGATGAGGCGGTTTTCCACGTTTGGGGAATGTAGGCCCCTAGTGTTATCAACTCTTCACTGCTTGAATCTACTAGAGCCCCTTGCAGGATGAGGAGAGTGGCAGATTGCCAGGTGAGGACGTGGTGGGAGAAATATGTTAAGGAAGACCCGTGGGCGTTTGTAGAGAAGACGGGATGTAGTTTGACGCCACCTCGGAGGATATTGATATCGGGTGAGATAGATGGGAGGAAGAACGAAAGATGCGAATTAACTGTCGGATTTAATATGGCCGATTCGAAACTTCCCGGAAGTGTAAGTGCAGCGGGTTGTAGGGGAGGTTCTTCGTTCTCCTCGCTCTCCTCGGGTTCGGTCTCCGTAGCTAGACCTTTATGGCGGCGTTGAGATAGGTTCAGATTTTTGCTGAAAAGCAGGTGCTCGAAAAGGGCAGTCAGCGGGTCGAATAGATATGGAAGAGACAGTGATATCGTCCGGGCAAAAGACTTGTAAGATATCCCCCCATCACTCTCTTCCGGTGAAAAGGCCGCAATAATACTGTCTGCCTCGTTCTTAACCGACTCCATACGCCGAACATCCAGTCCAGATGTATATATCTTCAAAGAATCCAATGGCTTCAGGGGTGCAATGACAAGGAGTAGCATAACCAAGCGGCGGAACGTATCGATAGAAATTCGGGTCTCATAAACGGTCTTGTCAACACGGTGATCGTGTTTGAATACTTCAATCGCATCGAGAGAGTCCAGTGCTGCAAGTGCGAGATCATCATCCTCATCTTCATCGTAATCATCATTGGCTGGTTTATCTATAGAGAACCCCAGCGCATGGGAATTCCCAGCCGAAGCTTCGGAATCCTCGGTCGTACATTCTCCATTAGCCTCGGCGGGAGTCTTCCTCCCCACATCAGCCAAGCTTCCAAAGAGTAACTTGATTCGGTCTTTGTGCCCTCGCTTCAGCGCTTTCCCGTAGCGGTCTGTCAAAAGCACAACGACCTTAACCATGGCCTCAAAGGTCAATACACTGGGCGCGAGCGTGTTTTGGAATGGAAAGGCTCCCAGATAAGAAACCATGCGAAAAATCACCGGCCCTGCATCTAACGGTTGTTCCTGTGAAGAGGTAAAGATACCGTCTGGGATACCCAAGAAGTCTGAAAGGACTTTCTCATTCCAGTGCCGCAGGCCTCCCTGCTCTAAGGCCCGAGAGAAGAAGTTGTCTTTGAAATGTGTGAGCTCTAATGGCGTAAAGCATTTTGTGGCGAAGCGCTCAGCAAGCATGTAGCTCAACTCTTCTGTTTATGCATGTGGTCAGAGACAACTATTGTTGACAAGACGGAGAAATATCCATGGCAAAATTGAGGCATTTATTGACAATTACGGTCGATCGAGAGAGTAGAACATTCATGTGTCTCATAAAACTAACCACAGATATAGCAAATAGAACTTACCTGGGGATGATGCGCCATGCTCATTCGACTGGGCTGCACCCATCGTTGATGGTTGTTGCGGGGATGACCCCACTGCTAGCTACGGCAGCGTTCCGTCGCAGTGCTCAAGAGCCGATATCGAGCAAGGAGTTTGAAGGAAAGGAAAAGTTGCTGAATAAAATGTTCAGGATGAAAAAACCACAGCATCGACAAACAGTAGTAAGTCAACATGGGGAGCCGAATTCCATGAGACGACGTCAGTCGGTTGCCTGAGGCATGGTATGCCTGCCTGAGACTTCAAATGATCAGCGAGAATTACGTAATGACAGCGCCTCAGGACCACATGACCATCAGTTTTATCACGTGGTGATGTGATACCCCAGATCATGTGATGGGTATATCCTATCTCCAGTAACCAGAACACTCCCGATCTCAGCCTCCCTCCTCTCGGAGACCTCGCGTTAGATTAAGTCTCTTCGTACTCAACAGATCTTGCCTCCTCCGATAGCTTCTTCCTAAAAGTATAGAAACGGGGAAAGCCGTGTAATACCTCAAGTACTTTCAGTGTTCCCTGTCTGGGCCAACACGAAATTCGCTAGGGCCAGCCACAAGTCTAGCCAGAAAACATTGGTATATAAAATGTTCGTTTGATTTTCATATTCTTTTGATCGCTAGCACGGTACAAGGAAAAGCAATTCGTTTCCGGGGTATCCGACGTTAGATTTACTAGCCAAAGCGTCAAGCCTACAGCATGACGATTCCGACACCTCCCATCTTCGACTCATCGGGCAAGTTTTTCGAGTTAATTCCACCACCGATAGGTGCAGCACGATAGTTATAAAGGTAGAAGTGGAGCTGGCCATCGCCAGCACCGAACTTGAGCGCCTCGAGGAAGAGGGGGTTGTCGTGCGAGGTGAGAGCATTGAAGACGTCGAAACGGGCCTAAGCAAATAAAATAAAAAAGACGAGATTAGCATGTAGAATGAGATATAGCACATTGCAACATACCTGCTTTGCGCAAATTAGGGCATCGTTCATCAAGAGCTGCAAGCGCTCCTTGAAAGCCTGCTTGTCGTTAGAGAACGCGCTCTCGGTTGCATAGTAGTACAGGTATGCGGCATGGACGGAATCATGGTTGGGATTGTCGATCACAGTAGACTCGAGATTGTAGAAAGAGACAAAATCAGTGATCTTGTGGGTTTCTGGGTCTTCGGCAACGTATGACCAGACAACCTGGTCTTTCCCTGGCTGCTTCTTGTACACAAGCCAGTGGTCAATTTCTTCCCGTGTAAAGGCCTGGTTCAGGTCAAAGCGCCGCATGTATCGCTCCAGCAAATCAAAGACGGCATCAATGTCCTTGGACTCCATAGGCCGCAGACCAGGTGTCGACGTCTGGCTAGGCAGATGATTCTTAGTGACCTGGCGGGCCTTGGTCGAGCCATGAGGCAGAGGCGAGAAGCCAACATCGTAGAGCTTCAACCAATCCAGAGAACGGTGGTAGTAGCGGCAGGAGCTGACGGGTGTGGGTAGGATTATACCTCCAGTGTAGATGGCCTGGTAGATGCCCCTGAGGTAGCAACGGCGGGTAATCTCCTTGATCAAAACGGGGGTCAAGCGCTTGGAGCGGAGCTTCTTGTGGATACACAGGAAGTTGATCTCCGTCACCTTGAGGCGCTCGCCGCGGACGCGGAGTTCAGTCGGGACACCGCAAATGGATGCAACCAGCTTGCGCGACTTGGTGGCGCGTACACCAACATGCCATTCCTTCTTCCATCCAGGAGACATCAGGGCCCTATATATTTAGCATTAACATTCTGAGATAGGTAACATATTCAAGACTCAATCGTACCAATGGAGGAAGGATTCCGAGTAGTTGAAACGGAACATGGCATTATCATCCTCGACATAATGCTTGTTGAGAAGCTCGTAGAGCTCTTTCAGCTCTTCCTCATTTGTCAGGTCAAGAGTACACCACTCAAATCCCTCAACGAGCGCATCGGGGGTCTTAGAAACCTTCTCTGGGTCGATGATCTTGATAGGTCCTTGAACAATCTCCTTTTTTCCAGCGTCCTCGAAGGCAGGCACTGGTTGTGTCTGCCAAAACTTGTACGAGGCCATATCCTTCTGGTTCTTACCTCCCACCGCCAATCCAGTCAGCATCTGCGAGAGGTCCATGTTGTGCAGTAGGGCCGCAGCTTGGTCCTTGTCCATCGCAGCTAGCTCGCTCTTCAAGGCCGGGTTTTGTTCGAGGAGTAGGGAAGCGAACTTCGCAGGGAGCTTCTTCCCTGCTTCTAGAATTTGAATGTCAACAGCTGCGCTAGGGTCTAGTGTGGGAGGCTGGAAGGAGCCCTACCATTACCTGAGTCTGATGGAGCGCCAGACTCATTGTCATTGCGCTTGGGAGCCTTGCCCTTCTTATCGCTGGAGTCGGACATGATGCGCTGGGGTGTTGTGGAAGAAGGAATTGGGTTGGGCCCCACGTTTCAAACGCCGCGGATCTCTGGTGGGGGTCGTGCGGGCAATCTGACTTAATAATACTGTGATCAAGTTTAAGACGAACTCTACATAACTTGCTTCACTCACGCTATTATTTATAGTAGTGGAAATAATTGTTAATTATTATTTATGGATACGTTGCACCTCTGTAGGGAGTACTAGTGCTCCACTGTGAGCAGTGAAGACCCCTGCTCAGCGAATAAACGTTTAATGGCCTACATCAGGAACCTCGGCATCCACATATGCAAAGTCCATGTAGATCCCAAGCACGTACAACTTTCGAATATGGTATCATTTAAACGATTGTAAATGAAACTATGCTTAAAATCGAGGAATTGTTGAAATCCAAGTAGAAACACATCTATGTCCGTCCTATACTAAGCCAAAAGCATATCTCATGTGGTTGATACAATGAATGCAAGAATCTCTGGAGCTCCAGGCTACCAATCGTCTGGGAATCATGCGTCGGTGGGTGGTTTTGTCTCGACCACATCAAGGAATCCTCCGACTAAATGGATGCTACCGGTGACAAAAGTCATGACCGGAGCTTCATCCTTCTGCAGGACCTTGCGTTCCTGGCCCGCAACTTCCCGCGCAAAATCAACAGCCTCCTCAATTGTACCAAAAACATGTGTTTGCGCATGAGGGTCAATAGCATTCCACTCCACGGCAAGTGATTTTTGGACTCGAAGGAGTTCGAGGTCATCAGCATTAGTGTTCATACTAACCAAGTCGGGTCGGAAGCCCGCCTGTTTGTAGGTAATGTTCGTGCAGAATAGGGCATGAGAGAATGGGCTATCATTTCCAAGGGCGAACGCAAGGGTCTCGTGGAGAGCACGAGCAAGAGCTGTGCTGTTACGAGTCTGTTGGTTGAAAATCAAAATCCGTGTCTTTCTGGCGGCTACGTCCTCGGACGATGAGTCGGCCTGGATACGCGACGCAAACCACTGGCCAGCCAGCCGGATGCTCTCCAGAGTGTGTCCGCCATCGATATACCAGGAGACATTCTTCTCAAATCGGGTTTCACACCTGCCACCTAGGCGAGTTTCCTCGAGCCCGGTCTTGAACTTTGCCGGTAGTGGTTCTGTCTTGATATTGTCCGGAACATCAATGTCAACCTGGCGCAAGAAGTCCGCGGCAACTGCCACTGCCACTGAGGCATTGGTATACTGGAAGTCTCCAGCCAACCCAAGGGTGATCTTGCTACTTTCGGGACGAAGCTCTGGATGACAAGTCACGATTTCCAGTTGAGCACCAGCCTCCTCGGCGCGTTTAGCCAAAACTTGTTCCGCAGCCAGAGGTTGTGGTGCCGCGAATCCATTTACGCCTCGCTTGAAAATGCCAGCCTTGTGCCACGCGATTTCCTCAATCGTATGTCCAAGCAAATCAACGTGATCAATTCCAAGACTGCTAATCGCTGTCACCTTCGGCTGTGGGATCACGTTGGTACAGTCATATTGACCACCGATTCCACATTCGATCACCGCGGCGTCCACGCCCTCGCTCAAGTAGGTATGGAATGCCATCACGGTCAAGTATCGGAAATATTGTGGTTTCGTCCCAGGCCCGGTGGGATCCTGGCCCAGCAATTTAGCAGAGTGCTCAAGGCGATCCCACACTTCGAAGAAATAGCGCGCAAACTGTTCTTCGGACAATGGGGCATTGTTGATCTTTATGCGCTCACGTGCGAACCGAAGGTGTGGGGAGGTATAGAGACCGATCTTAAGATTGGATCCAGGTTGATCCGCATCTTTTCGGCTATATTGAGAGAGAATGGTAGAGATGAATGCGGAGGTCGAGCCCTTGCCTTTCGTGCCGGCGACATGAATTGCGTTCAGCCGATTGAGATCGGAAGGCTAGAGAACGTAAATATCTCGCATTAGCTCCAATAATGAGGGAACAAGATCCCTGCCATCAGCGCACCTTGTATCCAATGCGCCGCAACCACTCCACTGTCTCCGGGAGGGATTGCTCGTTGATCTGTTGCCTCGTTGTAGATTTCTTGAACGCCGCCACAATCGCATAGTTAGTCTGCAATGAGTTGAGGGATGCAATCGCAGCCTATGTATTCCAAAATCAGTATATGCTATACTTTGACATAATTATTCCTTGTCGCAAAGCCCGGAGTGGCATACCTCATATGTTCGAGTCATGGTGGGCGAACAAGTCGAAAATCGCCTTGTGCAAAATTGCGAGCGAATAGAGGTGCAAAGCCCTCGCATGAACAAATTAAACCCGTGCCTAAAGTCCTCAAATGAGCAGGGGTGGTTAAAGAAACCCCGGTAGCTCTAACAATTTATGATTCACTGGTTGATCCCCGCTCTCCTCGGGAAACCCTTTTCATACTGACCGGGAAGATCACGTGCTTCCTAACATATCGCATACATAGGACTGAACTCAAGCTAAGTGACTATAACTAACTAACTGACTAGTTACATGGTCGTTTGTTATTTTATAAACTACATTCACAGATAAATTTGTATAGTATAAGGCCGCATATTGGATGTTTCCAGCACTTTGTATGAGTTATAAGCAAGAATAAGTGAAAGTATATTTGATATCTAGGAACACGTTTTTGAGTCCCAACATGATATATTTTAGAAATCTAGTCGTAGAAGATTGAACTTGGAAAAGACAAAAAAATCAAAAGCCCTCTCGTTGATGAACTTCCTTTCTAGCTATTCTCATTATTCTCAATATTCCCATCTATTGTAATGTTTAAGAATGAGCAACAACTCACATTCAATAGATAAGGAAATTTGAAGATGTATATGGGTATTTGAAAGTGTTCATGTATTGGCTAAGCTCTTCGAAAACCTTTCGAGAGAATCCGAGCAGCGGGAACAATGGGACCGATTCGGAAATCACGGTAGCAGCATAGAGCTGGAAAATCAGGTTATTGCAAGCAAGAAACAGCGTATCGAACAAAGATGAAAGATGATTAGAATTGAATTGAATTGAAGGGGCAAGAACAGAAAGGAAACTGCCGGCAGGCCTGTAGTGGTAAACAGAATGGTAATAGAAGACACAGCCATGAAGTGTACAGAATATGAGAATAAAGGGTAAAAAGAAATAACCCAAGAACGCCGGAATGAATGAAACATTTACTCAATCCTAGTCTTGCCCTCTTCCAAAAAGACGAGACGGGCATTGCTAATGCCACGCTGGTGTCGTCTGGAAGGAAGCCAATTGCCGATGATGGGATCGGAGCGTGCTTTGATGAGAGCATCCTGATATCCCTCAGCGCCAGCGATCGGCGTGTTTAGCTTGGGCCAATTGACCTAAAAAAAAGAATTTGTCAGTGGGTCAATACTTCAACCTGGATAAGAAGAACTTACATAGAGCATGCCGTGTCCATGCACGAAGCGGAAACAGTAAACCGCCACCAGCAACCAGAAGGTCATAAACAGGCGAAGCGGCCAGACAGCGGCATCAGGCAATCGTCTTGTGAAAAGCGCTACCGAAACCATGAACACACTAGCAGCGAGAACATATGGAACTGACTGGATGACAAGTGGTCGCTGGTCAAGGAATAGCTGGATGTTGGCAAATGTTGAGTCCGATGGGAGATAGGTACCCAAAAATACATCAAACCCATCTTGTCTAGGGCCGTCCAGGAAATTGTTGCGTACATATCGTGTGATGGAATTGTTCAAATCTTGTAACATGCCGGCTCGCGTACGTTTGCCAGTCCGAGTGAAGTCGGTCTTCAGGGCACCAGTACCGGAATAAGTCTTGGAAACCACATCTGCGTTGTCTGCCCAGATATTCCGGAACAGGTCTTCAAACTCCTGGTCATCGTTGGCAGTCTCTCCAGGGCGGAGAACGCCCGCATCCATAAGCTGCCGTGTCACTGCCCAGCGGCCGAGCATGCTTTGCACTACATTGGTGCGGTCCAGACAATCCATACAGTTTGTTCGGACTACACTCGTTTGCGTAGAACGAGTATCTAACTGCCCACCAGGGGCACCAGGACTCTCCACTCCACGGAAATAACCGCCCTGGGTCAGCCCGTCGTTCAGACGGCTCATGAGCAACTCGGCGCGATGCCACTTGAGGCCCTTAGTCTCGTTGTGGAAATCAAAGTACACATAATGCAAATGATCCATCTCTTTCTGCTTGAACCCTGGTTCCAAAACATGCATCTTTTCAGGGGTGCGTTCATCAGCCTCGGTGCTCTCAGATGAGGAAGTGACTAATGTGCGAACCAGCTGCTCATATGCGCGCTTGACCTTCTCTTCCCTGCCCTTTTGGTTGACGAGGTTGACCATGTAGTTTTCTCCATATATGCGGATCTGTTCGGAGAAATGCTTTCGCGCAGCTTCGATAGAAGTCTCGACGTCACGAACCTGAAGCTTCGGTGTATATTTGAGGTCGTTAACTTCAGTCCAAAACAGGGGAACACTGCCTCTGGTTTGTACAAAAGAGTAGACTTGGAGGTCTTGCCCAGCTTTGCCACTGGTCATTGATTGACCTCCACCAAACCCAGATAGTCCACCCGTCGAGTCATTCAAGATCACAATCTGTTCAGTCTCGTTGTAGTTTGCAACATTCCCCTGCTCGTCAATTCCGCGAGAGAAGTATCTCGTTCCGGCTCGGTGTCTGCATCGCCGGGTGATAAGCGCGAAGGTGAAGGATGTCGACTTTACTCGGGCCGGAGTAATGCGCATCATACCGAACATTACCGGTAAGATGTAAGGGTCTGCCCCTGGTTGGGGGCCGTAGCGAATTCCACTTGTGTCGTTTGCCCCGAGGCTGAAATCGATCAGATCGGATTGAATGAAGCGATTCCAGAAGAAGCGGTCGTCTGCGCCCTTCCACATCGGAACATCTGGGGCATGTTGTGACTGTCGCTGAAAACTATTGGTGACATCTAGCGAGTAGGAGAAGTACATGGGTCCCCTTCGAAGCAAGTCTTTCACCAATGTAAGATAGGCATCTTCGTCGGTGTCGTGAAGCGGCCGTTCTCGCATGGGGAGGAATTCGGTCCCAGCAACTTTGTATACCATATGGCCGCGCAACCGTCCCATGGGCTGGGCTTTGGTAATAACAATGATGTATTTATCTGTGAGCGTTAGCGCAACCTCCTGAGTTTCTGTTTGTAAGTGCAATTACCAAGCTTCAATTTGAGAATTCCGAGAATTCCAGCAATACTTGAGATGCGCTTAGCACCTGGAAGGGGGCCATCGTTCAAACGTAAATCACCGGTTGGTCGGTCGACTACCAGAGTTGGTGCTTGGCGTGATGATGGCGAAGTAAAGGCATAGTGGGAGGGCGACGCGTGTAGGTTGATATCCCGAAACGGGAGAATAGGAGGAGACATAGTTGGAAACAGTGACCTCCTGAAATGAGGTCTTACAAGAGAATTTGAAGAGGAACAAGCATCAAAGGGAAAATAAATTCAAGTCTCCCTACGACTTCCCAAAAAGGACGGAAGGTACAAAAGTAACAGCGGGCCACTCTGGTCAGTACGCAGCCACACCGCCCCGCTGCACCTGTGGCTGGGCCTTCCGTCATCTATTCCTGTCTGCCTTAAACTACGAGGTCTTTGAAGTGTTTAAATCTTTGTACTCCATACCCTTGGATCTCCCATTTTTCTCGATCTTCTATCCGGGTCTTGAGACCTTGAATCATATATCTCAGTTCCTCGACAGTTCATCTTCCTTCCTCCTTCGACGCTCCCTCCAGACGCTCCCTCCTCTCTCCTGATCATGGCTTCCCGACAAGCAGCAGGAGCCCGCCCGGGCGCAAGATTTGCCCAGTTCAAGCTCGTCCTTCTTGGTATGTTCTGATGATGTTGTACTTCTTTTTCATCTTTCGATCCATGGCTGACATGCTTTATAGGAGAGTCCGCCGTCGGAAAGGTTTGGGATAACACTTGCGATCTTCTTTATCAGCCGCTGACTTGACCGCTATCTTCCAGAGTTCGCTCGTCCTCAGATTCGTTAAAGTGAGTCGTCAACGATCCCCACATTACATTACTTCCCGCGGCGAGCCGAACGCACATGGAGTAATAAAATGCTAATCTTTCGGTTCAGGACCAATTCGATGATTATCGCGAGTCGACGATCGGAGCCGCCTTTCTGACACAGACCATCTCCCTCGATGATAGCACCACAGTCAAGTTCGAAATCTGGGATACCGCTGGCCAGGAGCGGTATAAGTCGTTGGCTCCGATGTACTATCGCAATGCCAACTGTGCTGTGGTTGTCTATGACATCACCCAAGCTGTATGGTTCAATCCTGCATCACGCCTTTGACTTTATTGCAATATAGAAGCTAACATTCGTGAAACTACCCTATAGTCGTCGCTAGACAAAGCCAAATCATGGGTGAAGGAACTTCAGCGCCAAGCGAATGAGAACATTGTGATCGCCCTAGCAGGCAACAAGCTCGATCTTGTCACAGAAAGCCCTGATAAGCGAGCAATTCAAGAGGCTGATGCCGAGGCCTACGCACGTGAAGCGGGCCTGCTTTTCTTCGAGACCTCTGCTAAGTCCTCGATAAATGTCAAGGAACTATTCACCGCCATCGCCAAGAAACTACCTCTGGATCAGGCCGGTCCTCGGAACTTGCGAGCGACCCCTCGGCCCGGCGTTGACTTGCGACCAGAGGCCCCCGGAACTCAGGGTGCTGGTGCGTGCAATTGTTAAACAGTTACTCGATCATATTTCCCCCTGGGTAGTGCGCCCTCGCCTCACCCACCGTTTGAGAAGGCCTAAGGCTACACATCCCAGCATCTTTCAACGGTGGTATAACTCTGTGACTTTCTATGATTTCGCCAATGTCATTCCATCGGACTCTGGCACCATTCCCTACCGCTACGGAGCCGAGGGATAGACTCTCGGTTCATGATCAATCTAACTCTCTCGGATTTTTCTTTGCTTCTTTTGTCCTTGCTCAGCCTCTTCAATTGGGGGCTCACATGACCCCGGTTGGCAGAAGGATTTAACTTCCATGAAGCCACATGGAATTTGGCTTTAGACATGCTGCAGCTGGATCTGTCGGTGCTTTGACCGTGCTGCTCCTTCTGTACTCCTTGTTCCTTGTCACCTGGCGTCTGCATCTGCTCTTCTTTCTTTCGTCCTATGTCTTGGGCTGAATTCCTGCTATTCCCGTTACCCTTGCCTCTTTCAGAATTCTTAGTATGTTATGCTCAAATAATACATTTTCCTCACCTGTATGTGCTGTGAAGATACACAATATACTAGTAGTGTAGGCAGACTAGATAGCTTTATGAGTTCTGTCGACTCCGTATAGTCAACTGATATTCATTTTTGTTACTTGTGTTGTTCGTGTCAATATATTTCTTCTTTGTTTACACCTGACCTCCCGAACATCTAACCAGTGGCCAATATCCGGGGAAAAGAGGTTCCCATATTAATAGGCCAATCTCTGTTTTATCTTTTATTGCACTCCGAAGCCAGCTAAATTTTTTGTGATGTCAGTATGTACGGAAGTGGGCATGAAATGGCGCGCAAAGCCACCCTGACCGCCCGCAGGATTATCGGGGCGGATCGCAACTGAGCAACCAAGTTCCCGTTTTCCTACCCATCCATCTTTCTGATCACCTTTAGCCACTAATTTTGGCGATTGTGCGGCTCGTCATGCTGCGCTCCTCGATTGCTCCGGGTCGGCAATTGCTGTCAAACCCTGTCCGCCAACGGATCCCGTCGCAATGGCTGTCTAGAGCCGGTGCAAGCAACCGGCTTGTAGGCCAGGTAAAGAGAACTCCCCAGCCGTCCTATCTCTTCATACTGACAGTCATCATGCGCAGCGATTCTTCGCCGATTCTAAGCCCCCTTCCACCGGTGGTCCGACACCGGTTTCCCCTTCCTCTGAATCCAGTATCCCCCCCAAGACCATCTCGCAGGCCGCTGAACAAGGTATGACGACCCGTTCATTCATCAATTACCATTGAGGCCCACCCCTTATGTCCTAATGCGATATTTCTGTAGAATCTAAGCTTCCTCCCTCGCCTCCGGCAGCTGCTCCCCGCAAATCCGGTCGTTTCCGTCGGTTCTTGATTTATCTGATCCTCACATCCGGCTTTGCCTATGGTGGCAGCATCTTCCTGGCCCTGAAATCCGACAACTTCCACGATTTCTTTACCGAGTACATTCCCTACGGTGAAGAATGCGTCCTCTACTTTGAGGAGCGCGACTTCTACCGCCGCTTCCCCAATGCCTTGAGACACCAAAACCGTCTCCCGGCCGTACCCCGAGAAGAGGAAAAGCCCATCACAATCCCCGGCAAGAGCGGTCTGTCTTGGAAGATTGCTGAAGAAGTGAAGGCCGAAGTCGATTCTAAGAAGGCAGCGGAAACTCACGACGGCCAAACCAAGTCGACTGCCAAGCCCGAGGATCGGACCGCCGTAGTCAAGAAGGCCAAGGAAGACGCCTCGAAGCCTAGCTCCAAGGACACGAAGCCTGATTCGGAGGCGAAGAACCCCGTCTCGCTGGATCAGCCCAGACAACCTGCTGTTTCTGCGAGCACTATTGAACTGGTCAAGTTGCAGGATGGTGATGACGCTGTTGTCCAGCATCTGGTTAAGACCTTCAACGACATCGTTACTGTCATCAGCGCCGATGAAAACTCCGGCAAGTACTCTGCTCCTGTCGCCAAGGCGAAGGGCGAGCTGGAGAAGATTGCCGAGAAGATCGCTGGTATCCGCAGCGAGGCTCGCAACACCGCCCAGGAGGAGCTTAACAAGCTTCATGCTACCTTTGATGACTCGGCACGTGAATTAATGCGCCAATTTGAGGAAGTGCGCTCCACTGATCTCGCTTCATTCCGTGAAGAGTTCGAGGCCGAGCGCGAGAAGCTCGCCCAGGCATACCAGCATAAGGTTAAAACTGAGCTCCGCCACGCTCAGGAGCTTGCTGAGCAGCGTCTTCAAAATGAGCTCGTTGAGCAAGCTATCGAGCTGAACCGCAAGTATGTCCACGAGGTCCAGAGCCTGGTCGAACGCGAGCGTGAGGGCCGTCTGAGCAAATTGACTGAGCTCACAGCCGACATTAACGAGCTCGAGAAGCTGACCGCTGGATGGAGCGACGTGATCGACACCAATCTCAAGACTCAGCAGCTGCAGGTCGCACTGGACGCCGTTCGGACCGTGGTCGAGCGTGCTGAGACCCCCCGGCCGTTCGTTCGTGAGCTTGTGGCCGTGAAAGAGCTTGCTGCTGGTGATGCCGTCGTCGAGGCTGCCATTGCATCTATTAACCCTACTGCTTACCAGCGTGGTATCCCCTCCACCACTCAGATATTCGAGCGTTTCCGCCGCGTTGCAAGTGAAGTCCGCAAGGCTAGCCTGCTTCCCGAGGATGCCGGTGTTGCCAGTCACGCTGCCAGCCTTGTCCTAAGCAAGGTCATGTTCAAGAAGGATGCTTTGTCCGAGGGTGATGACGTCGAGAGCGTTCTGGTGCGCACTGAGAACCTGTTGCAGCAGGGCGATGTTGACGCCGCCGCTCGGGAAATGAACACCCTCCAGGGCTGGGCTAAAATTCTCAGCAAGGACTGGCTGGGTGATGTTCGCAAGGTTCTTGAAGTTAGACAGGCTCTCGAAGTAAGCTTTTGTTCCACCTTTCGATTTGGCAATTTGCAACAGATCCACTAACTACTTTTCTTCTCCCAGGTTATCGAGGCCGAGGCCCGCCTCCAGTGCTTGCGGGTTGAGTAAGCGCATACTTTGAGCGAAGCTGAATTCATTTTACCCTGTATATCCTCGTTTTACAGGAACTGTACCTCTAGTTGTACTTGTGCTTTAGACCCAGATGCTAGAACTTTCCTATGTCTCTTGACTTATATAAGGTGTGCAGTTTGTAGTATGTACTCTAAATCTGGACAAATCTTCTCATCATAAATCAAACGAACAAGTCTGATAGTATCAGACTGATACTCGAGTCTTCCGCGGTTTCGTGCCTAGGCGGGCCCACGGGTGCGAATAAAGTGATTACGTAACATGGCCTGACGCGCATTCCGATCTACAACTTGCAGCCTGATAGTGCAACTGATTGTGCAACATTGACTTCAATTTCACTGGTATTTGAACCCTTGCCAATTTGGCTGGTTGCACATATGCTTGTGTCTGACCGAATAATGTCTGTCTCTTCCTCGAACGTTGCCATCTAGCATTGTTGCCCTTCCTGCAGCAATGTCGCAACAACCGAACGAGCCCCCTGTACGATCTTCAATGTCTCCGGTGAATGGACGACCACGAGACCGATCCTCGGAAACAGCGTCGCCTTTTCTCCGATCCGATGGAGGTTCATTTCGCCAGACTTCGTCCGGAAAGAACGACGGCCAAGCGAGCGTGGAGTTGGAGGGTAGTACACTGGGCAGCAGTTCCCGTGATGGAAATCGGAGGACACCGAGCCAGCGGAGAACGCAGAGCTCAGGGGGTTTCCTGCTTGACTCGTTACCTCGTCCGCGAAGCACAAGAGTTAGCCTGCATCGCCCTCGCCCCTCGGAACCCCCTCAAGAGAAGCGCAGCGTTCCAGAACCGGATATTGTGGTACCCAAGAAACGCTCGAAATTTCCATGGATCCGGCATAAGCATCATGCATCTATATCAATCCCAGATGACTCAAGTTCAAACCCGAATAGTGCTTGGCAACCTTCTACGACTCCTGATAGACAGCCCTCCGGAAACCCCTCGCAGCCTGAGCTACGGGAAGACAATGTGACACATTCAACTCCTGGCCTTGATAGGGACTCGATCCAGATTGTGAATCTAGCCTTGAATCTTAATGAATCTCGGAGGAGGACAGCCTCTGGAATACCCCTTGGCCCTGAGAGCCGAAGACCAATATCTGTCTCCCAACCCACTGTTCCAACAGTGAACGGCTATGCGTATTCTCCACGAGCGAGGGAGTTTCAGCGTGAATCGCCGTATCGCAATTTTACCCAGGTCTCTGGTAGGCGTCTGTCACATGGGACACTGCCGAGCTTAGACCAATCATCTGTTGTGAATTTGTTGCCTCCATCCGCGATTGAGGATCAGAGAGCATATGAATTCTCCGAAAGCACTTTGGCTCGTGCTGAGAGAGCACGGAATCATTTTGATCTATTTCATGAATATATGCGGCTACTGCCCTCATTACCACCTCTTCGAGATGCAGTCACGGCTGATGCTGAGTCTAAACCACATAGATCCAACCGTGGTTATAACCCGCTTCAAATGATTCGCAACCGAAAAGTTAGGTATCGCGAGAAATGCTCCATCGACGCAGATGCCGAAGGATGGCACGACGTCGAAAGAGTCCATCAATGGATCAATAACGTCGAGCAAAAATACAGTCATAGAGAGTATGACCCAATAGATTGCTTAAAGCTGCCACCTTTCCAACAAGATCGCCGCCATGTGTCTATCGGGGAACATGAAGGTATGGATATGATGCCTACCTCTCCGGGGTCGAGCTTGCGGCGAGTCAGCCGAACCAGCAGCACGAAGGCCCGTCGACCACGAATTGATTGGAAGATCTCACCGGCAGAGCTTCTGGCCGATGCCGCATGGCTGGAATATGGTGCCAACAAGACGAAGGTGGTCGACAAGGATGGCTGTAGACTATACCCTAACCCCAAAGAATTAGTTATCATGGACACAGGCGATGACATCGGGACGCCTTCTAAGCAGAAGCGCCTTTCGGTCGAAGTGCGAGATCCTGGAGAGGGACATTCGTCACCGCGCACTTCTCTCTCCAGTTCTCACCCTGCATTGGCGCAAGAGTTCAAGAGCGTGGGTCGTGGGCGGCACAGGCACAGATTTCGAAGTCATTCGCACAGCTTACGCAGCCGTAGTGCTTCGAGCAAACGAAAGCCGTCACGATGGGACCATGGCAAAATGCGTTCGGGCAGCGTCTCGAGCTCTTCAAGCTCAGATACCCGCCCTTCCGTCGATGAGAAGCCTCGCATGTCTCGTGAACATATCCGCGATCACGTTCAAAGATTCGTCGAAAACGCACAATCAGCATCTCGGACATCGCGCGCCAAATTCCCCGATGTTCGTAACGCTGACATTGATCGGGGAAGGACACCACAGCCAACTGAGCCATTGTCGGTCAACAAGAAGCAAGCCCGCAAGCGCATGAAAGACTCTTTCTCATCGGCGGGTAGTCTTGATGACCGGCACGATCTTCGTGTGTCCCTAGAGGGCATGGATAGTACTGCGCCCAACTCTCCCGCTCGCATTGGCTACTTCCCGAGCATAGCAGTCAATCTGTCACCCCCCTCAAGTCGATCTCCCTCGCCCGCAAAGAAGGGTCTCCGCCACAAGATTGCTTCACGCCACGAGCGTAGCAAGAGCAAACAAGCAGATCGAGAGCGAGAGCGGGAAGATGAATTGCCGGAACCCGAGACTTTGCGTCAGCGAAATCTGACGGCACTGACGGAGGGTGCCTCTAAGCTCGAGCCGAGTCCTCTTCCTGACGTTGTGTCATCATCCTATCATGACGATCAAGGCACGCAGGAAGGCAATCGGGGAGATGGCCATCGGTCCCGTAAAGGGCCCCATCTCCCCGAATCAAAGCTGCGAGGAATATTTAAGGGACCAGGTCGGATAACAAAGATCGTGGGCAATGAAGTCTCCAAGGTCGGAGATCTCATCTTGAAGAAAGAAGATCCTGAATCTCGGAAATCATCATCCGCCACCACATTTCCATCAGATGATAGCGGTTCTGATGAAGAGTCTAGGAGTGACAGGAAGTATGGCTCCAAAGGTCTCTTACGGCGCCTGCCAACATTTACAGATGAGCCTGGGCGATTGACCCGTGGAAATTCTGAGAAGAATTCATCCCGAAGCTTTATACCCTCCCTACCGACCTTCACATCACCGCTGCGGCAAGATGAACGGAGTGAAACAGCAGATACGACCGATTTTGGCAGTCCTAACGAGCGAGTTCCTTCTCCACAAAATTATGGTTCCCGTGATTCTCCCAAGAAGTTCGCGCTGCCACGTAGCAAAACGCTTGATTTCAGCCCTTCTCTACACACGGGACGGACAAAGCGCCACGAGATCAAAGACTCTTCCATTCCTTTCAGCTTAGCACGGCCACCTGTCACTGGGCTTGCCAACGCTCGAGCATCACCAGGGCTTTCTCCGGAAGGAAGACGCCCCGGACTTTCAGGTGCTAGTCGCGCCTGGAGTATATCTGGGCGCAGTATCCGTACCTTGATTGACACCGGTGTACCTGGTAAACCAGAAGTCGAGCGCACGCGGGCTCTTCTATTGTCATCGGGGATCAAAGCCCGGGAGATCACTCGCCGAGCCCATACCTTCCGTGAGCCAGTTCCTCACTGGCTTCAAAGCTCGGTGGGTCCCGGCACATCTGTTCCACGAGTGACGCGAATTGGCGAGTTCGACCTCGCTGCTCAATGTCTCCTCCAGCGTTTCGAGCACACCCAGCACTCGTTCCAACAGTCCATGCATCATTTCTCCACCTCCACCTCGTATCCCCTGCGGTACCAGCTGAAGAACCTGGAAGACCTAGTCAACAATTCCCTGACTCCTCGCGTCCGAACCACGGCAAATGATGCCGAAGACCTATGTGTTCAGCTCAACACCACCAGCACACTCGCTGTCAAGCAACTGAGTGATGCCCTTGATAAAGGCCTTCGTAAGCGTCGCCGTCGGTTGCGGTGGATCCGCCGCACTGGATTCATGGTTTTGGAATGGGCTCTTGTTGCTGTGCTTTGGTGGGTGTGGCTGATTGTCATGGGTTTCAAGTTTGTACGTGGTGTCTTCCGGGGCGTCTTTACTGGTATTCGATGGGTCTTGTGGCTTTGATCGCAGGCTGCATATTCCTTCTTCGTTCTGATTCCGTGCCCACTACCCGTTTGGGGACTTTTCTTTTTACATTACTGTTTTTAACTCTATCGCCCCTATTGGCGTGCATATACCCTTCCAGTGAGCTCGTTTATGGCTGCTGTCTTCTTTTCTAATCCATCATATATGATTTAATGGAGCGTTGCGTCTGTTTCAAATGATTCCCATGATATTTTGTCTTCACCTTCTGTACATAATTCAGTTGTGCTATCTCTGTTCCAATACATCTGAATTTGAACAATACTCATTCGCCTCTTTTGATGGTGAGCCTTGTCCACTGGCTGTCTTTCAGCCCCCAGAAGGTGACATGGGCGTAATATGAGAATCCCTCTGCAAGCAACCAGGGTTGACAATGAGTAACTTTCTAGACCAAAGCTCTTTGCTTGTCTTTGTTCGACTTTGTTACTCTTGCTGGATACTCCAGAACAATATCTTCTTTGATCAAAACACTTGAAGATGTACAAGCATACCTCTTTGTTTTCTCTTTCTCTTGTCTGTGCTTAACAATGGGAACCTTCACTAAATAAAAAGGACCCAAAAGGCATAAATACTTGGAGATGTCCGTTGGGTTCATACTTTTCTCATATATTTTGACTGTATGACATTTATTTTCAGCAGAAACAAACCTCACAATATATCACTCATCCTATACACCACAAATGTCTCCAACAGGTAACAAGATCCCCACTGAATCATCTAGTCCAGCCAACCCCAGTCTAAGCCGCTCCTACAAGGAAGCTAGCAGCAGCCGGTGGCAACTAGAAGCCCTCTTCCAGACATTCTTGGAGGACAGACCGGCCGATACTGTCCTTGCTGTTCAAGAACGACGCCTTCTCATTTCCTGGGACCTTAAGGCAATCCATTACTTGAGAAAATGCTTGAGGACCTGGATTCTGGACAAGGTCCCAGGTGACGCGATCGGTGCATTCCTCGTGACTGTCTTGTACGAACAAGACTTTCATCTGGATTATCGACTGACCATGATGGTGAGAGATGGGGAAACCCAGCTGCACATTGCTCGTCGTTTGTTGGCATTCTATCAAATCCGAGATGAAGAAGGCGATCCGCTCTGGGATAATGTGACCATCTATGCCGAAGACGCTCACCCGAAACCATCAGTTGGTCAGGGAAATGGTGCTGCAGGAAGACCTGCTGCCACGAAGGGACTTCCTCGTATCCCTACATCACCGCCTGCTGATCCGAGATGGCCCTTCTTCATAGGTGCGCTTAGCGACCCCGAGGTTGAAGACCTCATGGACAAGTTAGGAGACGACGACCAGCATGCAGAGGAATATTTGCCTCCCTTGTTCACCGGTGTGAGTAAGGAAGATATTCCCATCATCCAGGCGTTTCGGAGCTTCAATTTCCACAAGAATGATTACTCCGAGGACATTCCCCTATCTGAGCCTGGGTCCGATCAGATTGAACATATATCGAAGCAGACTGACACATCACAGGATAAGCCCTTACCTCCCGTTTCCATGAAGAAGCCTCTCTCAATCCTACCCACGGACAAGGCTCTTTCCGCTCATAAATCCCCCCTCCCCCTCCCCCTCCCGCCCCTTTCATGCCCCTCAAGCCCAAATCCCTCATTTGTACGTGTGTCGACTTTCAAGGCAGAAAAGAAGATTAAAGTGAGATGGGCAGACTATGTACCAAGCCAACATGCTAACATTGAACAGACAAAGGATACGACGGGTCTACTTTCGTCCAGCAGAGCTCGCCCGAAGCCCCCCGTTAACGTCGACGACAACCAGCACCCTCCTCGTCCCTCAGACACTGTTCATGTTTTTATTCGAAGTCCTTGGCACTATAATATTCCCCCGTCCCCTCCTCAACTAAAGAAGAAAGCCGGAGTCGAAGACTTGCGCAAGGCCCGAGAGCGTGGTGCTTGAATAACTAGAGACGTTTGAGTCGACGAGTTCCGAGTCTATTTTGCTGAGCGTAGCAAGGCATACTATAGAGTCGTTAGCGGAAGAGAATAATCGTGCCAGGCGCCCAAAACACATACCGTGTGTTAGTGAGCCCCAGTCAACAATAAATCGCAAATCAGGTGCCTTTTGTATGGTATACTAATAGAAATGGTACCTAACATACGAAAATCATAATGTCCAATTTCCCGACCCTAAGAAATTCAAGTTTCTATATCATTCATGGGTGAATTCGTTTGTGGGACTTTCCTTCGTGCTGTAGAAGACGAGAGCGATATAATAACCCCAACCATCTAGGGAGGTCAGCTAGCAAGCATGGAGATCATACAGACTGCAATAGACTTCCTTATCTCCTAATCCAACAACATCCTATAACTTCCTTTTTCATTCTGTATGTTGACCGTCTAACGTCTCCTCTAGGATTCTAGTTTATTTGAAGGCCTCACAATGGGTAATAAATGTATTATCACTGAGACTGTCTAAAAATGACAGTAAAGAGTAAGAATTTCTTGGGAATCGTCAAGCGAACCAAAGCCAGAGCAAAGCCTCACAAAGGTAAGAAATGTGTGATCACTGAGGCAGTCTAAAAATAACATAGTAAAGAGTAAGAATTTCCGGAGAATTGTCAAGTGAACCAAAGCCAGAACAAATCTTGCTAGAGAGCCGAAAATACCCGACGGTCTAGAACTGCGCGTTCTGTCCTGCGGCGCGGATATATATCGGAATTCCTGCCCCGGTGCTCGTCATTGCCGATGACAATTTGAGAAGACCGTATCGATTCAGGGAGTAAGAATCCCCCTTTAACAAGTACGTCTTGAGTTCTACCGGGTTCGAGTTCGACGAACGTGGTACAGAGCACTTCGAAATTCTGAAATACAACGGCTTGGCTCAACTCATCCGTCGGCCGTCCAAGACAGAGAACGGATCCCGACCATCCATCGGCAGGGCTAAACGGTTCCTTCGTTTTCCATAGAAGCGATGCAGTCTGTGAATGCGCAGTGCGGTCCCATAGGTACTGGGTACCTATAACCGTTGCGTTTCTAATTGCATTCGGGCCAACGGTTCCTTCGAGAAGAGCCCACCTCCCAACGACTGTATTCATTCGGACAACGTAGACATCGGACCCAACGAGTACAGTAGAGTATGACGCCCATTCCGACACAGCGGGATAACCAGGCGGGCTGATAAGCTGAGGTAACTCATCGTCCATAATGAGGCTAAGGTCGTGCCGATAGCCAGAGGGAAACGGAAGAACTGGGCTTGGATCGTCGAATGTGTAGGAGATGGTACCGATCTATATGAATAAGTTGGAGTTATTAGCAGTAAGCACGGGAAAAAGGGAGGAGACTTACCCTCTTTTTCTCCGTTGCTAACCAAACCTCTTTCCCAATCGGAGAATTTTTATTGGAGTTCCGTACGACTCCAATAGCAGAAGTATCAGATTGAGGTGGTGGATTCCGGAGGCATAGAAGAGCCCTCTTGGCTCTTAGGATCCACTCGGAAAACATCTTCGTCATACGGGAGCGTCGAGGGTTCCTCACAAAGCCATGCGTTACAGTTGTGATAGCTTCTTTTCCATCGTTCATCCGAATTCTCAGGCCTAAGCAGCCTTGACCCTGGAGACTCTCAGGTTTGTCGCAAACTTCCATGCCGGATGTAACGGTATCGGCGGTAGCTTCAAGCCTATATTCATCATAGAGTATTCGCAAACCACCAGCTTCCATAATCCAGTTTTCCTCATATATGGCTTGAATGTCGTGGAGTGATTTGAAAAGGACTACCAGGAATCCACTGACGAAAACACGGGCCCCTACTGCCGTGGGGAAAAGCTCGCGCAAGCCATCAATCTTCTCAGGGGACAGAAACTTTCTTGGGTTGATACCTTCCTTAAAAAGGTAATCCTCCTTCCATGGTGAACGTGGAGTCAAAATTCCAGACGGGTAAAGGTTCCGTCTATCCTCAGGATAAGGGTGCAACGGTCGCCCCCCCGCTTCAATGTCTTCGCACGCGCCGTTCACAAGCCAGACCTCAGGGCCGTACTGGGGATGCGATACGTAAACTAGATCACGTAGTCGCAATGCCGGATGATGAGTCCGAACCAGCTGTTCATTCTCTGGCGTAGTCTCAAGAGTGTGAATAGCGCGTATTTCTGCTGACTCGGGGAGTCCCCATACTTGCGAATCCGTTCCTGTTGCGCGTTAGCAACTCAAGTCTAAATACAGCATGATAGGAAAGCGAGATTCATCTTACTTAGTACAAGCCTGGGAGATAGTGTCTGATAACGGGGAAAGGAGGTATCGATGTCGGTTTCTGGGATCGGCAGGCGATTATACCGTACCGGGGACGCGAGTCTGGGGCGTTTCGCTGACATGCCGTGGGGTATGAGTCTAGGACCCACAATTGCCGAGAGCACGGTAAAACCAGACCCCACGGTCGGCCTGATCCGATTCGGCAATTCAGGACCTGTATTCTGATTGTGCTTGGGAAGCTTGAGAATAGAACCGTAAGACGCGTACGAGAGTGGGATACACGATTCAGAAGATGGGATTGGATTGTGTCGAGAGGGAAAGATCCCTATGTGTCACGTGATGGGTCTTTTCTTATGGGCCTAAGATCCATCACCTCTTTGAGTCGGCTCAGCATCTGAAGCAAATTACCCCAGCTACTATTGATGATAAGCAGTACGAGGTCCTCAGGCCAGGGGCTTTTGAGTTCGGCAACAAACAACCAAGGACAAGAGTTCCATACTTCGTTGGGTGTCCTTGTTCAAAGACACAAGTACCTAGTTATAAGTAAATAATCCGAAGAGGGAGAGATAAAATAACACAAATTCTATTTGTTCGGATAGGAGAGTAGAAAGTAGTATCATGATCTTGAAATACAGGTCCCAGAAAGTCACAATGTGATATAGTGCCATGCGTAAATAGTACAGGGGGTTTTGGATGGAAGAAGCAGCAGGGATTGAAAGCAAAATATGCTGCTTCTTGGCTCCAACAAGAGCCAATGCTAGGCATTGCATAGCTTGGCTTGCCAGAGTAGTTGGAGTGGGTGAGGAGTTATTACATATTTTATCGTTTACTTCTTGTGTCTGTCGGCCTGGGCCTTCAGGTACTTAGCAATGAGTTCCTTCCTGTAAGAGAAGACAGTTAGCAACGGATAATATATTTAGAGAAGTGATTGGGGTTGAAACATACTGCATGTGAGGAGGAGCCTTCTCGTAGTGGCTGAACTCCATGGTGTATTCACCCTTGCCCTGAGTAGCGGCGCGCAGGTTACTACTGAAGCCGAACATGCCGTTCAGACTGCAGTCAGCGTAGACAGTGAACTCGTCAACACCGGTTTCGGTGTCGTTGATAGTGGCACCGCGCTTGTTCAACAGGCCGATGACATCACCTTGGAACTCAGTCGGAGCGGTTACGACCGTCTTCATGAGAGGCTCCAAGACAGAAGGCTGGCTTTCTGCGAAAGCTTTGCGGAATGCCTGCTGGGTGGCATTCTTGAAAGACATTTCGGAGGAATCTGTCATGTGAGTGGCACCGTCATTGATGACCATGCGAGTTCCGAGAACCTTGTGGCCAATCAGAGGACCCTTCTCACAAGAGAGGTTGAAACCCTTCTCGCAAGCGTACAGGAACTTCTCCGAAATGCTGCCTCCAATAACCTGCTGCTCGAACTTGTTGTCCTCGAGGACGCCGGTAGGCTCCATCCATCCCATAACACGGGCGAATTCACCAGGTCCACCGGACTGCTTCTTGAGCAGGTGATCGAACTCAACACGGTTGCCGATGGTCTCACGGTAGGCGACCTGGGGCTGGCCAGTTTCGCAATCGACCCGGTACTCACGGCGCATACGCTCAACGTAGATGTCAAGGTGGAGTTCACCCATTCCGGAAATAATGGTCTGGTCGCTCTCGTTATCATAGGAAACTCGGAAGGTTGGGTCCTCTCTCTGGAAGCGGGCCATGGCTTTGGAGAAGTTGGCACCGTCCTTGCTCTGCTTGGGCTTGATTGAGAGCGAGATGACGGGCTCGGGAACGAACATGGATGTCATGCTGTAGCCGAGAGTTCCATCAGTGAAGGTGTCGCCAGATGCACACTCAATACCGAAGACGGCACAGATCTCACCAGCGCCAATCTCGCTGACTTCCTCCATGTCGTTGGAGTGCATGCGGACAATACGAGGAACCTTGACCTTCTTGTTGTTGCGAGCGTTGAAGACATTGGAGCCCTTGCGGAGAGTACCCTGGTAGACGCGGATGTAGGTCAATTGACCGAAGTTGCTCTCTTCCAATTTGAAGGCTAGACCAACAAAGGGAAGAGAGTTATAAGGGACAAGCTTCACAGACGCCTCGTCACGCTTCTGGTCAAGAGCGAGATTCTCCACCTCAGCAGGGTTGGGGAGGAAATCAATAACACCGTCGAGCATGGGCTGAACTGACTTGTTGGCCAGCGCAGATCCCATGAAGACAGGGGTGAACTTCAAGCCAATAGTAGCTCGGCGGATAGCAGCTCGGATCTGATCCTCGCTGGGTGTGATTTCTTCCAAGAACATCTCTGCAATCTCATCGTCGACATCGGCAAGAGTCTCGATGAGCATGGTACGGCGCTCCTCGGCAAGGGCTTTGACCTTCTCAGGAATTTCATCCTTCTCCAGTATCTCCTCTCCGCTCTCGCCAACATTGTATAGAGCCTTCATGCGGATCAAATCAACGACACCCTCGAACTCGTCCTCGGCACCGATGGGGACCTGAACAGCAGCAGCAGGGATCTTCAGCTTAGTGTTGATCTGGTCAACGGCCTTGAAGGGATTAGCACCCATACGGTCCATCTTGTTCACAAATGAGATACGAGGAACGTTGTAACGACGCATTTGGCGATCGACGGTAATCGTTTGGGATTGGACACCCGAGACAGCACACAGAATCATGACAGCGCCGTCCAGAACGCGCAGCGCTCTCTCGACCTCGATGGTGAAATCAATGTGACCGGGAGTATCAATCAAGTTGAGGTGATACTTCTGGTCAACACCCTCCTTATCCTTCTTAACCCAGTCACAGAAGGTGGCCGCGGACTGGATGGTAATACCCTTCTCACGTTCCAAGTCCATGGAGTCCATCTTGGCACCGACGCTGTCACGCCCGCGGACCTCGTGGATAGCCTTGATACGACCAGTGTAGAAAAGAACTCGCTCTGTGCAGGTGGTTTTACCGCTGTCGATATGGGCCTAGGCAGCGAGACTTCATTAGACAAGAACAAAAAGCGTACATGGAGCAAGTGGGATAGTATATACCGCAATACCAATGTTACGACACTTGCTAAGACGAGCGGACTCCAGCGGATCGAGATTGTCGATAATGGCGGCTTGGGACAGACCCTCCGGGTCGGCCTTAGCAGCCTCGAGACTAATAACAACATTAAAAAGAGCAAAAGAAACAGATCGGGTCGACAAGCATACTTACACCGCAGAAGCAACAGCAGAGGAATTTCGGCGCTGGTCCCATTGTCCCAGCTTCGACTGATAAGCCGGCGCAACAGCGGCGGACCGGAACGCGGGCGTTGAAGCGCATCGCTGGCGCAGAAGAGTCTGGGGTTGGAAACGAGCTGATCTGGTTAGACCAAACACCGCACGGGTTTGTAACCGTGCAAGATAAGGAGACCGCATGGTGATGATCCAACCACTCCAAAATTGAGATGATCAACGCGAATTGGATGTTTAGTTGGCTCCGAAAAAAAAGTTCGGGGAAGCCAGGAACGCATCACGTGACTATTTACATCGGCCCATCAGAGCCGGTAGATTACAATTCGGTGTATAGCTAGCCATAAAATGAGATATCGATATTGAAAACGGCCATATCTTGGTCGTGGAGGTTTGAGTAGGGCGACAAGCCGTTGGTTGGAGTAAGGTGCGCATATATCCATAGATATTGGGCATCTGAGAAAGACTGGAGATTAGGATGAATTGGATCGAAACATGAAGACCAAATAAACTTGATTGTCACACTAATATACAAGGAAAATACACAAGCGCCGTGGTACCACTGTCTGGTTTTGTAACAAGAATGCAAAAATATGCCGCCGTACGAGTTCCGCCACGGCAAGTCGTGTATCCAAGGCAGCTGAAGACAACCTGGTTATTGAGAGCATGTTTTTATGCCTAGAAGTATCGCCAATATCTCAGACTGTTCGAGTAAAGGCTGCCGCGGAAGGATAAAGCGATGCAAGCTATCGGAGAAAATGATGGAAAGTGACGACTCTATTTCCCCTGCCGTTGCTTGTGCTTAGGGTTCTTCGAGCTAAAAGACCAAGAAAAAAACATATTAAAACCGAACAACTCCGGGCTTCAATGTCACAGGGTCCACTCACCAGATAATGTAGACACGGCCTTTGCGGTGAACGGGCTATTCAAAGTCAGCACCAGACAACATGACTTCGCAATCATTCCAGCATTGAAGCTGTTCAATATCCTAGATCATACCTTGCAGCCATCGCATAGTCTCTTAACAGAAGACCGAGTCTTCATTCCTCGAACCTGCTCCACCTGTTTAGCAGACCCATTCGCCACAGCAACAGCATTGCCGGACTTTGCTTGTCCACGGAGTCTTGTCAGGCTGTTGCGAATCATGTGTGAGAAAGGCCGTAATGAGGCGGTCCGGGTGGTCACAGAGGGGAAGAACTGGCGGAGGGCCCCGGAGGAGGCACCGAAAACGGCGCGGAGGGAAAACATGGCGGCGGGTTTTTGATTCTGTTTTATCTTCCCAAAAGACGATCAAGTGGAGGCTGCGCCTCAAATGTTCCTTATGAAGAACAAAAGAGGTATCGGGGTGCGGTGCGAGGTTGATGTTTGGCTTCCAAGGTTCTTTAGTTGTGCTGCGATCGCAAATGTTGGCCGGAGCTTCTGTATCGCCGGTCAGCCGATGCGAGTGGCCGCTGTGATTGGTCCGTTTTATACTACAAGTAAAACAGAATGACAATGCGAAATGTGGATTTATTGAGTGTCTCGATAGAAAAGTCTGTTTTAATGCTCGATAATAAGAAAAAGAAGATTTGAGGGTATTTGTACTTATGCTAGTATGTAGTGAGAACCCTAAAAGTAGACTATGTGACCTATAATACAAAGGGTCTATCAAAATCAACCAAACGCCAAACAAGAGACAAAACAGGCCTGGACCTTAAACCGCTGAAACCATAACAAGCTATGAACAATACATTTCTCGTTACCCACCTTCCCTTCTTTTGCAATTTTAGAACAAAATGTTTATTCGGAACGCAAGAAGGTCTTGTAAGTGGGCGAGTCAGTGTGCTCACTGAACGGATAGCCCAAATCCCGAAGGAAGGCCTCCAAGTCCTCCTTCTCGGGCGACGGGCACTGGATTCCAGCTAGAACCTTGCCGACATCACCGCCGTAGTTTCGATAGTGGAACAGAGAGATATTCTGTTCCGGACGAAGGGTGGTGAGGAACTTGGCGAGAGCACCTGGACGCTCGGGAAACTCGAACATGAAGATGCGCTCATCGGCAGCCTCGCAGCGGCCGCCAACGAGGAAGCGCACATGGCGCTTGGCAAGTTCGTCATCACTCAAATCCCGGCAGCTCATGCCGGCCTTTTCCAGCTCTCCCATGATCTTGGCCAAGTCTTCGCGGCCAGTAGAGGCAGATAGCGAGATACCCATCAGCACATCAGCCGAATCTGCGCGGGCGTACCGGTAGTTGAACGCGGTAACGGCGTGGGGCAGGACAGTTTCAACGAGCTTGGCGAACGCGCCGGGCTTCTCGGGGATCTTCACGCTAAGAAGAGCCTCCTTCTTCTCACCGAGAGCTGCGCGCTCAGCAACAAACCGCAGACGGTCGAAGTCCATATTAGCACCGGAGGTAATGGCAATAAGCTCGCGGTTGGGGTCAGGGCTAGGGTTCTTGGCAATATACTTCTTGAGACCGGCAAGAGCGAGAGCACCGGCAGGCTCAACGATGGACCGGGTGTCCTCGAAGGCGTCCTTGATAGCCGCGCAGGTCTCGTCGGTGGACACCTGGATGACTTCGTCGATGACCTCCCGGCTGAGACGCCAAGTTTCCTCGCCAACAGACTTCACTGCTGCACCATCTGCAAAGAGCCCAACCTCCTTGAGGAAGACTCGTTTACCCGCATCGAGGGACTGGGCCATAGCGTTGGCATCGTAAGCCTCGACACCGATGACCTTCACCTGGGGTGCGATGCGCTTGAGGTAAACTCCGATGCCGGCAATAAGACCACCTCCTCCAACAGCACAGAAGACTGCCTCGAGCTTGTCCAAGTTTGCTTGGCGCAGAAGCTCCATGCCGATGGTACCTTGGCCAGCAATGACATAAGGGTCGTCGAACGGTGGAATGTTCGTTAGACCATGCAGCTTCTCTAATCGGTGAGCCTCATCTTTGGCAGCATCGAAGTCCATTCCGTGAAGAACCACACTTCCTCCCAAGCGAGCAACATTCAGGTGTTTAATGGCAGGGGTGCCGGAGGGCATGACGATGGTAGCGGGGATTCTCAGCTTGCGGGCAGAAAAGGCCACACCTTGAGCATGATTTCCTATGTCGAGTGAGTCAGAAGGCGTTTCCATTTTGCATTATCTACCAGTTATAAACTCACCAGCAGAGCAAGCAACAACGCCCTTCCAGCGCTGCTCATCACTCAAATGAGCCATCTTGTTGTATGCGCCACGGAGCTTGAAGCTGAACACCGGAAGCAGATCCTCGCGCTTGAGAAGCACCCGGCTTTCCAACCGGCTACTCAGGTTGACAGCATGGGTAAGAGGGCTTTCTTCAATAACATCGTAAACTCGTGACGTCAAAATCAACCGGAGATACTAGAATGGCGGGGCAGTGTTAGAATTTGAAGATTCAGTGGGGTATTGCAGAACTTGAATTACATCTGGGTAGCCGTTGGGAAGCAGAAAAGCTTCGGGAATTCCCCAATTAGGAGGCAATCCTGGGGTCCTTTGCTCACGTTCAGAGGGCGGCGTCGGAGCGGCGGTATACTCAGTCAGCGCAAGCCCGCTCGTCTTGGGAGTGACGGGCGTCGTGGCGCCGTTGGGAGCCTCGTCGGACATGATAAGTTCAGGCTGATTTCTGCCAAACGTTTCTGCCAAACGATGAAGACAATCAATCCCAATGCTGATCAGAAAGAATTTGAGAGCCGGGAAATTCTGAACTTTGACTCTTTTTTCTTAAGGCGGGACCGGTGATCGGAGTCCCTTATGTCATCAACCCCGAGTGCTAGCCCTAGTTAGTGAAATAAAGCTTGATTTAGGAGTGTCGAAAGGGTGAAATAAGAGGAGATGAGATCAAAACGAATGGAAATCTTTCAGACAAATATGAAACAGTGTGTTTTTTGGACTGAATGAAAGCAGACAACGTTGGGTAGCAGGCACGACAAGCAGATGTAGATAGCGGTCAACAATGAGGGGCTACTAGTACAGGAATGGCTTATGCTTGGGTTATTTTATTTTAGACCAATCCGACATAAGAGATTTACAAACAGAAACATGTAAAGCAGGAACCCTGATGTCGTTGTAGCATTGTAAATACATGGCCTCCAGGGCTCCAGGGCTGGGCCAGATAGTTACATAACCCAATATGTTTGAAAACTTGGCGTCATACCACAGCTCGACCCTTTGCGCTCCAGCATCTTGAGCCTATTCCAACATCGACACTTCCCAACCCTCATGCCCCCCGACTTGATGATCTAATCTTTGCTACATAACTACCCATTATAAAACTCGGCTGAATATCCCCGACACGAAAACTCCGCATCCCGTGGACGCAATTGAACTCCGCACGACCGTCAACATACCCGACCACGATCAACTTCACGATGAACCGGGAACCTGTTCCTTCGTCTTTTGACGAGGAGAACCCGTATGTATCACACATTAGCCGCGTGCTCCGCAAGCGGAACCCGACAATGCCGCAGAGGAAGCGAAGGGAAGGCTCGTCTGCTAACACTCGGTCTCGGACAGTCAATTTACAGAAGAGACCGGCGTTCAAAAATTCAAACGACGTCTCAAGGAAGAACCCCTGGTTCCACTTGGTACGAAATCCATCTGCACAAGCCCTCATCTTGACTTTGGAATTTCCCTCCCAACATTGAAAACCAAAACTAATACATACTGCCACAGGATGCGCCGCAACATGTTATGCCCTCTACCGCGCCTACCGGTCGATGAAAATCGGTGACTCGGTTGAAATGAACCGAATGTTCCGAGCCCGTATCTACGCACAAGCCTTCACACTAGTCGCCCTAGTCGCCGGCGGAATGTACTTCAAGACGGAGCGGCAACAGCGCCGGGAATTCGACCAAGCAGTGGAACTTCGGAAGAAGCAAGAAAAGCGTGATGCGTGGTTGCGCGAGCTAGAGATTCGTGATAAGGAGGATCGCGAGTGGAGGGAGCGTCACGCTGCTATTGACGCTGCGGCCAAGGAGGCCGGGAATAAACCGGCGCCTCGTTCTGAGTCTGAAGCGGCACGGTCATCGATCGAGCCTGCGGATGAGAAGTCTATTGGGGTTATGGATGCCGTCAGGGCTCTTATCTCGCGGAACTGATGGCGAGCGCTTTGTAAGATAGGAGAGGTTCTTTTTTATTTTTGTACATATGCATACAAATTCTCCGATAGTATGTGAATTCTCAACTGATGAATTATGCCGTTCTAGAATCCATAAGCATGAGTGACAGAAGTACGATTGGCTCATCTGGGGTCGTACTGTGTACGGGGATGATGATCGACGTACCGAGGTTGAAATATCTCAATTGATCCCAAACAATCACGCCACTAGCAGATGGTAAACCACCTTTTTGGCAGCATCTGGAATTTACGAAACAGCACGTTGATTTTGGATCAGCATGGCCGAGTTTGTTTCCTTGGCCGAGGCTTTCATGTGAGATCGACAAAGCTAGCGTGCGGCAACCTAACATAATCAGTGCTTATTCGGAACGGGAGTGCCGTCAAGGGAGTGGTTTTGAAATAGTATTGAATTCTTAGAGTATGAAAGAGTCTAAGATGAACGCTTTCCATCCTGAAGACTAATATGGTGCGCATGATAGAAACCTAGAATGCGGGGAAGTTGAGCCAACACCAAACCCTAATTTGGAAAGCTCCAGGGTCTATCAGAATGACCCTGGGTCAAACTTTTCAGTTACCCCGAGACTCCACCCCTCATGCAGCCTAACTCTTTCAAGACTTTCCCAAGGCACATTCTTTTCCGAATCACAGTACCATGACGTGTGGAACACAAGCTAGTCGCCTTATAGGCCGTCTCTCGCGAGTATAAAAGCCCATGATATTCCCTTACGACTGTAGATCTTCTCGTTTCCTAATCCTTTCCTCCATACCCCTGTCAAATCGACTACCCACCTGTACGCTATATTCAACAAAAAGAACCATTCCCACATTCAAAATGCTTTCCTGGATCAACCCATTGCGAATCGTGCAGGCCATCCTGTCCCTAGCCACGATTGGTCTTACCGCATATGGTATGTTTGACTATCCACAAAGTACTCCATGACAGCACTGACTCCATCTAGAAATTGCCTCTCTGTACGACAAATGGTCCTACTCGAATGTAGTCTACTACATGCTCTTCAACGGCTGCTGGACAACAGCCATCGCAGTCCCATACCTGGGCCTCGCACCCCTACGCTTCCCTCGCTTCTCGCATGAAATCGCAATTCCTCTCATAGAGCTGCTCACCGGCGGCCTCTGGCTCAGCGGCTGGATCGCCTTGGCTGCAATGATTCCCTCGCCTGGCGCATGCCACTATTCCAGCTGCCACGCCCTCCAGGCTTTGATTGTCGTCGGGGCCGTGCAATGGTAAAACAGATGCCTAAGGATTGACGCATGCATACATTATCTAACCTGTGGTTCTGAGCAGGGCTACTTTCGTTGTCACAAATACCTTCGCCATCATAGACCTTAAGAACTCTCGCCGCAACGCGAAGAATCACCGTGATGATGCTTCCCCGGAGATGAGTGCTGCTGATGCGAATACCAACGGCAATACTACCACTACCGCCACTGCCGATGGGGCTGTCTAGGTATCCCCTGAGGATATGTTTATGTACTAACGGCATTTGCACATCTTGCAAGCTATGATACGCACGCGGTTGGGTTTCCTATATGAAAGCGATACCCCACTTAGTTGATTTGACGAACACATGTCTGCCCCTGTTTATATGATCTTGATATACCAGAAATGGTCTGGTCATGTATCAACCCAATATTAATACGATAATCTGTCTTTACTCCATTTCTCTCCTTATCCGGGCGGTGCAGCTCAGTTTACAACACCGTTAAAAGCAATCATACCCAAAAATGGAAATCTTCATCATGAATCTACTCTAGCGTTAAATTTTAACCGATATCCATCCCGTCCACCTGGTTTATCGATTTCATTGGCCCACTCTGGCCAGTCTGGTTCATTTCTGCATGGAATCCCAGCACCTCGCCGTAGCTAGAAATAATCAGCAGAATGTCCGGAGAGATGTTGGCATGTACTGCATTTAGGATTGACTACTGACATGATGGTCTTCCAGATATCGGCTGGGAGTTCTGCTTCGAGGAAGGCCCAGTCGAATGTTTCCGCAGCGACTGGTTCGTCATTGGGGTCGTGGTATGGTGCGAGATATGGGGATGAGAGGGCTTCTGCTGCGGAGATTCGTACTTGAGGGTCCAATTGAAGCATTTGATCGATTAATTCCGCCGCTGATTTGGTTAGTATCTTTTGCTTTCTTTCTTTCTTTCTGGTTCAGATGTATAATTGAGGCTTTCAAGGAAAGCGATAGCTTGAAACATACCATTTACATTCGCCTTGGGAATGAGCTGTGATATTGGAGTGCGGGCTCGCTTTGGGAGTGAGTTGATAAAGTTCAACGTCTGCAGAAAAAGGAAAAGTAATCAGAAAACCCCTTTCGGTGGGTATAATATAATTTCAGAGTATGACCTCGCTCACATTTTCACTTGTGATATTGTTGATGACTTCTTCAGGGGGGCTCCCAAGGAGATCGGTGATAACACAGAACTGGTTGATATGGTTCTTTCCAGGGAACAAAGGCTCCCCCAGAAGTAATTCCGCGAAGATGCACCCGGCACTCCAGATGTCGACTTTTTCGTTATACTTTCGCCATGTGAGCATTATCTCGGGAGCACGGTAGTACCTCGTCGAGACATAGCCGGTCATGTGTGACTCTTGGATCCGGGCCAGGCCGAAGTCACATATTTTCAGGTCACAGTTCTCGTTTACCAGAATGTTGCTTGGTTTTAGATCTCTGTGGATGACACCGGCTGAATGGAGATATTTCAGGCCACGCTGGAATTGTTGTTAGGAAATCGTGCGTTCTGGGCGGGGGTTGGTAGATGATACTAACCATTATTTGATACATGAAGTATTGGGCAAACTGATCTTCGACTCTTTTCGCCTTCAATATTGTATCAAGGTCTGTTGCCATGAGTTCGGTCACAATGTATCTAGAGTAATTAGTACTTTCCCGTGTAAGGAGAGAGATCTCTTCATACATGTCTTCTGAGGGAGAAATAAAGATATCGGTCAGGTTGATGATCTAGCGGGCAATTAGACAGTCGTTCCATACTGCGCAAGGCAATTCTCACGTTTTCATGTCGCAACTGTCGCAGTAGTTTCATTTCTCGAAACATGTGTCTTGCAATAGCCGGTGTCTTGAAAGGTTCCGAGAGTTTCTTCACAGCGACAGTCCGATGAGCAAGCTGATCTCTTGCAGAGCTATGTAATTAAATGTTAGTTCTGGCTGGTGATAGAACTGCTCCAGGAAATAATACCAGACAAGCCCAGATACCCCAAGTCCAAGAGGTTTCCATTCTGTGTAGCTGGTTCGTATAGTCTTAGCATACAAGATCTCGCCCAAATATCAGCGGCTTTGGTTTTTTCTAACCGTTCAGTTGTCTCAAATAGTGTACCCATTACTGATTTCTGGGAAAAGGTTGCCATTCGCTCCCCGTAAGGTGGCGTAGGTAAGCCTGTAGGCATCATTGAGGAGAATATAGAAGTAAATAATGGCTATAATACAGGGATCAGCGAGAGAAACATGTAACAAAGTATGATATGAATAGTATGAATTATATGAATCGAAAGGAATCTTCAGAATAAATAGAAATCCAATGTATACTAACCGTTCGATGCCGTCACAAGTGCTCGGGTAGTGACATCAGAGGCTTTGTGGATCTCCCCACATAATCCAGCACATGCAGACAAGAAACAGAAGAATCATGATCATTCGCGATGATTCGCGATCATTCGCTTTGCATTGCATTGCACGGTGGATCTTCGTATCTACCCCGTGTGACCCGACCAGTTTCGGGAATTCCAGGGCTTAGGCTTGTGCAGGAACATGAGGCCTATTTTTAGGAATGTTTATGCGGAAATAGGTCTCCATGTCATAGACTGATTCGTAGATTCGTTGTTTCGTAACTATGAAAAGTTCCCAATATGAGTTTTGGTACGGGCTTTTCTGGGGTTGCAGCCCTGAGATTAATATACAGCCATCGCTAAGCAGAAAAGAGAGAACAGCCAACCAACGGAAGCTTATTTCTTCAAGTAAACCCATTGTCCGTATCGATAAAGTTCTCAAACATGGAATCAGTAAAGCCATTCGGCTCGTACGGCGCAAATTCGGTCGGGATTGCAGGCAACATTGTCCAATCGTTATTGTACGCGCCCGGTCCGGTAGGGTTGGCGTTATCTGCGACCGACTCATCGGACCACGTCCCAGTCGAGAATGTCGGCGATGAGCCGGTGGGCAAGGAAGGACCGACATCCGGGTTGGAATGGGTTTGCAGGACGGTCTGGGTCATCCTGGCGAGCTGGTGGTTGATTTCGTGGTCTTGGCACTCGGCGTGCTGGAAAACGAGGTTTTTCAAATCCCACAGTTCTTCTCGTAGGCAATTCAACTGTGCTATGAGGATGTCTTTCTTTTCGGTTTCGTGGGTGAGCCGACGCTCGATTTGCTTATGTTCCCTCTTCTTTCTTTCGCGGCATTTGTTGGCGGCGACGCGGTTTCGTTCCAGGTGCTTTGCCCGCCGAGGGCTGACGGATTGGGAGGATGAGGCGGATGAGACGGATTTCATGGTTTTGGTCTCCTAGGGAGGTATTGGAGGTGATAAAAGGACTTGAATAAATAGTGAATACTTTTAGAATGTAAATTATAATTGAGGGGTGTAATTTCAAGAATCTACACAATGTAGTAGAAATTCGATGAACACGCCGCAACCTTGGACTCCCAAATATATAAAAGAGCCTGGACCAAAATCAATGACGTACTACACTCTGTATGTTAAGGATCTGGGCAGGATTGAAAATATGAAAGCAAGCTTCTAGACAGCTGTAACCTGGCAGCCGTTTCCGGTTGTGCCTGCCATCCAATAGTCTAGGCCTCAGCCACATGAGGTTGAAATACACTCGGGGTGTTTGGAGAGGACAATGTAGCAGAATACAATGTCTATATTCGAGAATTGAAGACGTAACCTTCATCAGACCCGGCTCCGTACAATCTCCGTCAATGTTTAGAGACTCCTATATCGACGTGAATGTCTTGATGTGGAGAGACCCTCGGAAGTTCTCCCCACCACATCCCACCACATCCCACCCGTTCTATTGGAACGCAACAGGGAAGCTCCTTTCGACCGAGAACTGCCTTGTCAACTATAGAGGTCGACCCTCTAATATCAACCGTTCTTCAACGGTATGCACTCTTAGCTCGGTAGCTCGGCAATACATGCCTTGAGTTGATTTGACACCATAATATACACATTCCTAACACAGGTCAACCAGCGATCTGTTCGTCAATATACCGCCTCATCGTCTCGAACTCTGATTTGCCTGTCTTTAATCTCATTAGCAATCTATAATATTATAGTATAACACCAAAATTTCATACCGAAAGCAAGTATCTTATGTGTTGCTGAAGAAAGGTCAGTCAAGTATTCTCAGATCTGAACCTTGCCATAGAAAACATCCAAAATCAACTTACCAGATCCGATACATTTCGATGGCGTTCGAATTCATCACGTGCATATCTGTGTAGCTCAGTCCGTGTTGACGAAGGTGGCACCTCTGAGCATGTCTGTTAGTGTCATACATGGCTTCTAGAAACTGGAACGGTGGGCACACTTATTAATGCTCGCATGATTTCCCGCCAGAATGACAACACCCGCTGTCTCTGGATAAACTGTATGATTCAATTAGTACATATACTTCAACCCAAGCTTGAGTTACTTACATGGTCTAGACTGATAGAAGGTTTCTTCAGCTTGGAGGGCCGGGTGTGTGAGACCGCCGCGAGGAAACGAAGTGAGGAACGCATTGGGGTAGATCAAACCATGACCTCATTTACAAAAAAAAAAAAACTGCTCCCGTCAAAGCTTTTTCTTTCTGATGATAGAGATGCCAATTATTAGCTTGTTGTAGGGGAAGGGATACAGAAGGCGGCGAGGCAGTGGATATTTCTGCCGCATTGTGTTCACGGTCAGGTGATCACTATATGACGGAAGACTCAATGGCACGACCGCAATCTTTGAAGTATATATGCAGGATATAATATTTGTAAAGCAAGTATTATTGTGTAGAAGAGCAAAATGTTCATATGAATCCATGGTAGATTTTATTCATCTTAAGGCATAATATATAGTTTGCAAATAAATCATTCGTATCCAATTTTTACTCCTGCAGAGGCAGACTCATGCCACCAAAAGTTATAGTCTTGATAGTCATGAACTCATCAATACCATACTTGCTGCCCTCACGGCCGAAGCCACTCTGCTTGACACCACCGAATCTGTAGAAAGGTTAGTATCTGATATAGCAATGTGGGAGATTTTAACTTACGGAGAGGCAACGTCACTAATCAAACCAGTGTTGACACCAACCATGCCAACCTCTAGGGCTTCGGCAACGCGGAAGATGCGGCGAACATTACCACTGAAGAAGTAACCAGCAAGACCGACCTCGGCATGGTTAGCCAGCTCAACAACCTCCTTCTCGGTCTTGAAGGGGAAAAGACCAGCCACGGGGCCGAAAGTCTCCTCGCAAGCGAGAAGCATATCCTTGGTCATGCCGGTCAGAACAGTGGGGTGGTAGAAGTTAGGTCCGAGCGCGGTAGCCCTCTGACCACCAATAACAACCTTGGCGCCTTTGGAAACAGCATCCAGCACATGTTCATGGGCCTTGTTGGCGGCGCGCTCGTGAATGACAGGTCCGTGGGTGATACCGGCATCGAAACCACCACCGAGCTTGAAGTCCTTAACCTTCTCGACAAAGCGCTTGGTAAACTCCTCATAAACACCTTCTTGGATATAGATCCGGTTAGCGCACACGCAGGTCTGACCAGAGCTGCGGAACTTGGAGTTGATGGCGCCGGTCACGGCAGCGTCGAGGTCATCGACGTCGTCGAAAACGATGAATGGCGCATTACCGCCGAGCTCCCAGGAGACCTTCTTAATTGTAGACGCAGCCTGCTTCCCGAGGATGCGGCCAACGTTGGTAGAGCCGGTGAATGACACTTTACGCACCTCGGGGTGGGTGGTAAGGAGCTCACCCACCGCCGGGGTGTTCTTCGAGGAGGTAACAAAGTTGACAACACCCTTGGGGATGCCAGCCCGGTGCGCAAGCTCAGCGATCGCGTTCGCTGTGAAGGGCGTCTCCTGGGGAGACTTGGCCACGACCGTGCAGCCCGCCGCTAGGGCAGGGCCAATCTTCCGGGTAATCATCGCCGCGGGGAAGTTCCATGGCGTAATCAAACCACACACACCAACAGGCTGCTTAACAGTCATGACCCGGTTTCCGGGGATGGAAGCGGGGATTGTGTCGCCGTATGTGCGGGGTGCCTCCTCACTGAACCACTCGAAGAAGCTGGCGGCGTAGTTGACCTCGCCCTTCGCGTCCGCCAGGGGCTTTCCGTTCTCCCATGTAATCAGCTTAGCAAGATCATCCGCATTCGCGACCAACAAATCGTACCAGCGGCGCAGCATGCGCGCGCGCTCGCGGCCTAGCGTTGTGCGGAATTTGGGGAAGGCCTCGGAAGCGGCCTGAATCGCCTTCTCAACATCGGAGGTATCGAGCTCGGGGCAAGTTCCGATCAATTTTCCAGTCGCTGGGTCTGAATAGGACGAAAAGTCAGCGACCACCTTGAACCCGAATATTCAATTTGGTACCTACCGTAGACATCGAAAGTCTTGCCGGACTTCGCATCGACCCACTCGCCATTAATGTACGCCTTCTGAATGAAAAGCGACTGGTCTTTCAACTGTAATCGATCAGTACGAACTATGGAAATCACATTCGACTACAGATCTTACCTGCGGCGCGCCGTGTTTCATGCTGTATAATCTCTGTGCGTGAGCTGTCGGAGGAATTGAAAAAGGATATCTCGGTCGGGGTCTCAATAATTGGCGAGCGACAGGGCGGATGATGCGGTCCATTATAAATCAAGGTGAGGTTGGGCCTTGAAGAGAGAAATCACACGGGAAGATGGAGAAAATTGCGGGGGAGTAGGAGAGTTGGAGATGCCTTTAAAGGGAGCAATTCAGCAATTCAGCAATTCAGCAATTCTAGTGGGGGTTAGCTCAATGGTGATTGCTCTCTGCGTCCGAGAAGCACCGAATATGTGTAATGGTAATGTGCTAAAGAATGCGATTCTGGTAATCTTCGAAGCTCCATAGCTTCAAGCGGAGATCTGCGGAGTTGATGTCATTCTGCACATAACGGCATAGATCAACGGCTGTGATTGTTGTGGTTGTTGTTATTGTTTCTTTTGTTTTGCTTGATGTTCTGTTGCATTTTGTATTGTCTTTTTTCAAGTTCGATTAAGGAAAAATTGAGTAAAATAGAGAAACCTCTTTCTGTAGAGAATGGTTCATTTCATAGATCTGGTAATTTCGGTAATTTGGAAATCGGTATTACAGGACTCGGTGGTATGAGCCAATGAAAATTTGAACTGTGATAAAATACGGGGCTTGTAGCCAATCAAAATAGAAAATGAACCTCCGGCCTTGAGATAGTGTATGTGTAATACCCCGAGCTCATCCACGACTTACCCTCGAAGGGAGAACGGTCATAGTAAGTACATACTATCCTCTAATATAAGTACCCTTCTGAATAAACTTACTGTCAAAGCACTATAGCTCTGATAGGAGCAGTATGGATACCCCAGGATGCCAATAGGTTACGGTCTGGCGAGATCCAAGGACTACTCACTCGCGATATGAAACTATCTGACACACATTTGGCCTCATCTACTATGTATAAGTAGGTAATTGCATGCTAACAGGACTCTACTGATTTTCCTTCCATCTAAGCCAAGCCTTTCGTTTTGGTCTTGGCCGTTTTAGGGAAGCCGTTGGATGTAGCAGATGAGATTCTGACTGTGGTCCCCTAGGCAATAACTTCTATAAGTATCTGAATAGGAAACATGAAACCAACACTCTCGTACCGCCTTGGAAGGAATCATTGGACCTCGCGAGACCAATCGACAATAATGCACCATTTTCCTTCTTCACCCTACCCATCTTTACCATTAACCTTCTTCATTTCACTACTTCATCCTTTTTATCATCATATCCCTTCTTCACCACTTTATCCAGCACCTTTAATGCCATTGGAACAAGCTCCACAATCCTGGTTTGAACCCAAGTTAACCCAAAACAGATCTTTACGTTGCTTGGCTTGAAGGTTAGTGCCTTTGAGAATACATACTACAACACACCTCATCAGATTCTCGGCATCTATTCATTCGCTGGGTATAAGCTAGGGCCTTGGCCCTTTCATCTCTTTTGCCCCATATCCCTCGGAATCGAGCATCATGACTTCAAATCTCCAGCACGCTAACTCTACTCTCCCTGATGAGATTCAGCACATCAGGAGTCCTGCCACTAGGGACGATAGATACGATGATTGTCCGCCCTCGCTTTCAGTGGGTTCAAAGCTCTGTTCCTCGTTCTCTCTTCGGTGTTCTCTCGATCCAAACCCAGAGACCAAGGATCCATTCGGACGTCTTCCATGGTTCGGTCTCGAAGAGCTTCTCCTTCACCTGCCAGACTTACCAACTTTGCATCAATTGTGCCAAGCTTCACCTGCTGTTTCCGACTATCTCAATCACAAAATTGGATTCTTTCCAAAGCTAGTTGAAAGAATCATCGATCAGTGGGACCATGAGCGGGGTCTAAACGAAGATACCCGTGTGTTCTTCCGGACATTGGTCTATCTTTGGTGGAAAGAAGAGTCCGTGGCTTCAGGGATTCCTTCGGATGATAATCCATTACCCGTCAGTTTTCACGATGAATTGGTCTACAGCATTAACATAGCAAGAGAGGGCTTCAGTGAGCCAATCAAGGTCGGCTGCATTCGACTTCCGCACTCAACTCCCCCAAAGATTCTTCATTATCTTCTAAGCCTTACAAGTCGCATTCGCGGGGATGCACACGCCTTCTTCCACGATGCTATGACTCTGTGCTTGTCTGCCGATATACAGAAGTTCGAGAATCGGAAGTCGCCGTGGCCAAAAAACGGGACTCGACCTCCCGGGATTCCGGTTCACATCGGCACCAGGGAGGGAGGGTATCCTCCCACCTGGTTGGAGGAACAGCGACTGATGCAAGCCTTCTTGAAACCATACATCTTCTCAGTACTGCGGCGAATCGTCTGCGAGAAAAGGCTACTAAATACCAATTCTCCTCCCCCAGGTACGAAGTTCCCGCACACGTTGATGTATCTACAGGGGAATTTGTTGATTGATTTCTGGAGGACCTTTGCCTGTTACGGTTGGATGAGAACAGAGCCGATAGAACAGCTAGAGACTGTGCTGTCTTGGATGCACGAAAACAAATCACGCAAGCGAGCAGCAAAGTTTACAATATGTTGCCCGAAATTTACCTCGCTGAGCGACTGCCAACGCTCGCGTGGCTTGGATAATCTCCAACACATCCACCTCCCAGGTTGCTTCTTTGCACAGAATTGCTCAGCGGTGCCTCAGTCCGGTGTCAAAATCGCCGGCTTCCGCGGAGAATTCCAGAGGTTTGGTGTAAGCTTCTGGGATAATGAAAGAATGCTCTGGTTAGGACTTGCCCTTCCACGGATGGACCGCTACTTGGAGCGCAAAGACCTTGCCTTTCGGTGGTCGTCTCTGCTTCTATCAGCGAATCGAGATGCAACCAAAAGTACCGGAAAGACGAATGGCCTCCGATTCCGCAGCAAAACCAAGCCTATCAGTATAGGCAACAAGGTCTCGACTCATGGTACATCTGAAGTATGCAAGACAATTCCTTGATTCAGTCAGTCATTTGGTTATCAAGAGGGAAAAGAAAAGAAGAATTCAAACAAAGGACCGAAGCCATACATGTCTTGGCCGTGAGGTTTAGCTATTGAAAAAAGGAAAGAAAAGCATCGAGTACATTCATTGACGGCACCATAATCAAGACCTTTTCCTTCATTCTGCGTCTTTTATAACAGGACGTAGCATTGTAACTAGCCCTCTCTAGCTCACTAATCAGGAGCTGGAATTGTTTTTCTACACCAGTCCGAAATGCAGAATTCAAAGCGTCTTCATCAAGCCGGCACTAATTTATGGACGCTAATACAGATTGTGCGATTTCGAGCTTGCTAATTAAAATGGAATACCTAATCGAGCACAATGACCGTAGCATCCCGCTCAATCGAACGTTCATTCCCAGGAGCAACATTTATACCATGAGCTTTTTTCAAATGTTGGTTGAGGTTCCATTTTCGCGAAAATCCATTCGTATGTCGATTGCAAGACCTAAAATGACAGACAATATCCAATTTTCGATGAGGGCCCTTTCCAACACCTGGTTTAACCGTCCTTGACCCCTGAGCGATGGCTCGTCTTGTGTTTTCTGCAATAGCCTCTCTAGATTCTGTTGGCTCTTCCGGGGCTGGGGACGAGGAAGGAACAATTGCAGGGGTCATGTGTGACTTCGATCGTCGCTGGCCTGGAATCTTCGCTTTGGCTTTGGGTCCGAGCCCAGGGTCGGTTTTGCGTTTGCGGGTTGGCTGGCCGACTGGCCGAGGAATTGGCTGAACACTTAGTGGCTTCGAGTCACTATCGCTCGCGCTCTCGGTGTAGGCATATTCTTCTCGAGCATCTACCTTTTTTCTTTTTCTTACCCGGCCTTCGGGCATTATTCGGAATTCCATATCTTCACCGAAAAGGTCGGCGCATCGCTTTGACGCACGCATTACCGCGGAGCTTGGGAGGCCAATCATTGATGCCAGTCCCATAACTTCACTCCAGTCTCGCAGTTTGAGTCGGCCATTGATGTGATGACTGCTCTCGTGGCCAGTAGAGAAACCACGAGATTGTGCTCGGGTGTGGGAAACGTTTGGCAGATTTTCATCCTTTGTCTCCGGTCTAGTGGATATATGTGCACTGTTGGAAGGACGTGATATGTTTCGCTTCTGAGACTCCTGTCGAGCACTTCTCCGACCACGTGATCGACTCCTGCTTCTGAGTTTGCGGCTGTGTCGGGTCTGATGGTCTCCGTCCGAATCACTCCATTGCTCTTCACCAGATTCTTCCTCGAACTTGCGACCCTTCATCGCGCAATGGAGCCCGTATAGCAGCCGGTCAACTTGCGATATCACATTGCGGACCAACGGACGTAATTGGCGAATGGCTGTGTCGTCGTCGAGGAGGACTGTCGGTCGGAGGGTTCTTACATCAACACGCGCTTCTTCGTTCTCTTCATTTTTCCCCAATTCATCTTCCATCAGTTCCTTCCCGTCGTTCATTTTATTCCGAGAATTATGTTTAATTTCTTCCGAATCCCATTCTCGGGCTTGGAAGGTCTCCTTGGAGGTCTTCAGTATGAACGCTGTGATGCATTCTTCCAATCCGGCACTAGGTCGGGGATCGGGTTGCATCTGAAAATTATCAGAGGCATCCATTACCCTCTGAATGATCTCGTTGGCACGGGGAACTGTGGCTGCATGAACAGGCCATGCAGCCCATCGTTTGTTCACACGCAATGGCACTTTGTCGACCCCGGGATTCTCCCGGGCAGTGTCCTGCGCTCGCTTGCGAACCACGTGAGCATTGTAAAGATGAGCTGCCAAATCTCTGGTTCGGTTGGTAACAATTGCATTATAGGCTCCGATGTCATCGGCGTTGTAGTTCCTCCACGAAGTGGCGTGCCCGTCAAATAGATTAGGACGCTCAACTCCAGGTGGCAGGTCAAGACCTCGATCAACTACGTAGTAGATTGGGTCAAGTGGAGACTCCTGTGCCCTTTTTGAGTGTATGCGACTTCTGCCACGATTATTTCCCTGGCTTTCGTCATCAGAGTCATTCTGTAACGCCAAGGGCTGCCCTTGCATTATCACGTCAATTTCATTTTCGTTTTGGTCTAGCTCCTCATCCATAAGATCTGCTTCGGAAAAGGGCTCTAGAGGGGCATCTTGTTCGATGGGGCCTCCTCCAAAAAGAGAACTTCTTGGCGGTTCTAGCTGAGAAGAAGGTTGCAAGACATCACTGCTTGGGCCTCCAAATAATGATCGGTGCGGCTGTGCAGATTGTGGTGGAATATTTTCTGGCCAAGTAGACTGGCTCCCATATAAAGATGACATGACGGGAAGAAACTTTGGTCTCTTATGGGCGAAAGGTTCGGATCTGGAGTGCCTAGATGTCACATAGATGCGGATTTTTATTAGACAACATCCGACTAAAGGTCAAAGGAACAACCACTGTCCCAACCCTCTGTAACCGAGACTCTGAATGGTGAATTTTGGGTCTCCTGTCCGACAGTTCGATTGTTCCTGGTTGAAGATGTCAAAAATCGAGTGGATCATCGGCACAGTCACGTGATCGATATATTACAGAATATGTACGCTAGTCCCAAAATAGTAGTGTATGGTTCTAATCTGATTTCTGAGAGTTATCATAATTTAGCGACCGGCCATTTATCCTCGGTCAAGTTCTATAAGTAGATAAGGATGAATTTCTCTGAAGAGGCTGGTGTGCTACCCTGGAACATATGTAGGTAGTAGTGAGCGCGGTTTGCGTCCAAAAAACAACATGTGGTCTGTAACTTAGCCCCTCTACGAACAGATATACGTCCGGGCTGATCTATTTTTCAGCGCCCTCAGGGTTAGGTTCTCGCAAAGGACTAAGTTACACCATTCTCCTGACTTTTATCTATATTTCGTTCAATGGAACGTGGAACAGACAGACGTACAATCATCTTGAAGAGAGTAATGATAAAATTTTCATAGTAATATAGACAGACGGCTCTATTTAATTATCCAAAGCGAATGGAAAGGGACATGATCAATGAGAGAACAAGGCGAAGCCACCCTGCTTTACATTTTCAAGCCGCATTCTAGAACCAATCGTTAGGAAGAAAGAGCGGCATGGAATCCTCCCAAATGGAATTAGTCAAAGCACGCTTATTGGATCCATCGGGATCCATGATCATGATCTGACCGTAGGGCTGGAAAGTCTCCTCATACAAAGCGCACTCATACTGGAATCCATACATGCCGGAGGACCACATAATTTTTCCATCCTGGCGCCAAACAGCGTGGGCATCGTTGGCGCCGCTGGAAGTCAGAATGCGGAAATCAGTACCGTCAGGGCGGATGATGCAGACGTCGTAGTTGGTCGGAGAAACCTTGCGGGTAAACACTATAAATTCACCATCGGGCGAGAAAGAGGGAAGGTTATCCCAGCCGCTGGTAAGCTGGGTAATCTCTCTGGTCTCAATGTCGATCATGCGTAAACCAATCTCTGTTTCGTCGCCGTACTTGGCGGTCTCGGCACCCCACACGCGGTAGACGACCTTCTTGCCATCGTGCGAGAAGCTGGGAAAGCCGGTGTTGAGGTACTTGGTTTGATTGATAAAGAGCTTGCTGGTGGTGAGGACCTCGGTGTGGCTGCCGTTTGCGGTGGAGCGTAAAATCCAGCCTCCTCGCCAATCACGCGCCTCAAACCAGGCACCTACTCCGAAGACAATCCACTCGCCATCTGGAGACCAGCTGGGATTGTAGGCCCCGGCCAGGCCTTCTCCAATTAGAGTAGTGTCGATTAGACTCGTATCATTAGGCTTATATACCAAGGAGGCATGTCTATCCTCTAGATCAAAGGTTGCAATGGAGGAGTTGCCAAGTTGCTTTTCAGTCATAGCCACGCGGTCGTTCGACGATAATTGAGGGAATATATCAGTGAAGCGGTAATCCCATTCGCTATCCCAGCTGTAAAGCTCCTTGAAGAGAGGGCGGATAGACCAAACAGCTTTCTCGTAAACCACATACTTTCCATCAGTAGACCATGAGGGAGAGCGAATAGTGGTGTTGACGTAAGTACCGTTTGTGAGATACAAGCCCTCCTTATCGCCGCCCTTCAGATGGTACCCAATGGTGGAGTTCGTCACGTACTGGGGAAAGGTCTTGATACCAGGACCGCCAACCTCGGTTCGACGGTCAATGCCATTGATCCCAATAGACACAATTGTGGAGTTACCATCTGCCACGAGCTCAGGTCTATGTGCATCCCACGTCCCATTACGAGTCATCTCGTAGAATATGAGGCGCTTGCCATCAGGTGACCATTTGGGAGACCCAAGGCAGTGGGAAGCACGGTGGGCGACAAGGCGCAGATCTGAACCATCGGGGCGAATAATATAAATGCCGAGTTCTTGGGTATGCTCCCAGCCAGCGAGGCCAAGATACGTAGGTTTTCCGTGGCCATCCCATATTGTGTTGCGATCTGAGGAAAATGCAAGCCAATCTCCGTCTGGTGACCAGGCTGGACGAAAGTGCCCGTGCATCATGTCCTCATCTGGTCGGTTAGCCGGGGTATCGGTGATGTTCCACTCGGCACCGGTCTCCAAGTTCTTAACCCAAATATTAGCGTTGTACTTGTTAGCAGTTGAAACATATGCTGCTAATGTTCCATCGGGTGAGATGACAACGCTGTCTTCCGCTGCTGGGGATTTCACAATCGGCTGTAGATCGGAGCCATCTGGGTGCACTCTCCAGATATCGGAGTTTCCATCACCGTCACGCTCACTAGTGAAGCTAATCCATTCACCGTCGGGAGAAAACTCAGCGTGATATTCATAACCGGGATCTTTCAACAGAGGACGCTCGTTGGTTCCGTCCGCGTTGGCGATGTATAATTCTGAGGTACCGGGGGCAATGCGGTTCATCAACAGCAGACCTTTTTTCCCAGCTGTTGCGGAAGGGAGAGGAGACGCAACACCTGTGGTTGGCTTGCTTCGAATGGCATCGCGAGGCAAGTGAGCATGAAGGTTAGCACTGTTGTCAACCTCGGTACCCGCATCTCGGGCATAAGGGCAATTAGCTAACACAGGGGCGATTGCGAGGCCCACGACAGTAATAATGCTCAAACGCATTTCGAACGGGACAATTTTAGAAATACAATGGTCTCAGGGGAGGATGGTTTTTCCAGGGCTCTTCCAATGTTACTCGAAATCAAAAGTTGTCCCTGTACTAATATGGAATGCGGGGATGAACCTTGGAAGGTGCGACCTACATATAGGTGGCTGTATATATAATTTATTAGCCATAGGTTTGAGGGTGTTTACCTGAACGTTATATGGAATTGTTTACCTGCAAATAATCCATTCATCGTGGGTATTTTGATAGAATCCTTCGGGTTAATGGCACCCGTCAGCAGGACAACAACTTATTACCTTACAATTATTGGTTTAGTGCCTGTATATTCAACGAATACTCAACATCCTTGCCTTGCTTCATGATAGTTTGACCGTCAGAAGAGCGTCTGGAATAGGGCCTGGAACAAGGGTAGACTCTGCATACTTCCTAGAGTAACCCTAACCACGCCATTTGCCATGCCAGGGGCGTCGAATCCATGGAATAATAATTAAAAGAGGCAGAATGATATTTCAAACTTGCCACTTGCAGCTACATATGTATTATATGGTTGCATTCTATGCTCAACGTGAAGAAATATTGGACCTCGGCGTGAACTGGTAAACACTTCGCCGAGATACTGGCCTGGGACAGAGGTCTGTATGAGAGGAGGCCTCAGCTTAAAAAATCGGATCGAGATATACTACTACAGGAAATGAGCACCTCGACAGGAAGAATTCAGATTGCTTTAGTCGGCATTCCTGGACAGTGCTTTTCTAGGTTCGGCAACCTAGAATTTGTAACAGCATCAGATTCTCAGTTTGCCACATAGATTACAGAGCGACAATGGATTACATTCGAAGTATTATTGATAACGACTGGTGAGATGAAATATCGATGGAACCGTGAGACATGACCAACCGGAGTCAGCGAAGTGCCAATATCAGCCCAGCCCAGCCTGTTTCGCATGTAGTACAGCGAAAGGATATTGGTTGCTCTTTAGTTTCCAAAAATCGGTAATTCTGTAGCCACAATATATATATTCACACAAAATAGACCGACCTATGTTGTCCACTACATTTGGAAAGTAGGCGTCACGGAAGGTTTCACAGATTGCTCAGCACTAAAAGCTCACATTGAACACGAGAGCCAGCGCCAGGTGCTGGCGGGCTGAGGTTGCGGCTGAGCTCTCCGGCACTTTCCCAGGCCTGACTGCTGTTGTTACCAACATAAATCCATGAAGGTCATCGAAGAGGGTTTTAAAGATCGTGACACGGCGAGCACTAGCATCGGATTTGTCTTTTTTTCTACCAGTAATTGATTCTTGCAAAAACCACGAGTTTCGGACATCAAATCCTCAGATCTCCACGGATGGTAACTTCGAAATCTTAGCAGGAGGTAACCTTGGAACCTGTCGGGTATAAATGTGGGGTTGTAGATCGTGGTCGTTTAGACTCGGAGATAGGGCTGATGCGGACTTCGGAAATTTAATTCGACATTTCTGCTGGTTGGACATGGTGAATTATTTCTCATCCGATATGATAGTTACAAAGAGAAAAAGAAATCTAAGCGGAAAAGCACAGGTTCGGTCTATTTCATGCACCAACGGAATCAACGACTTGGACATTCTCACTCTGATTCCACAAGAATTCTCGAATCAATTCTCGAATCCTGATCGAATGTCACCATGAACGTCTTCCACCTTGCTTGTCCGACTTCTGTTTTCTCCTGACCGATGACGGAGCTCAAAAACCCGCCATGTGTAACAACGGCAATGTCAGGTCTTTTGCTGTCCTTCAGTTCTTTAAATTTCTGCTCCAATCGACGCTGAATTCGTGCTCCGCGCAGACTCAAGCTCTCCGGATCACTGGCATAAAGCCCCTCCTTTGCTGGGAATGTGGGATCTAAATCCAAGATTTCCCATGGGAGATCGTAAAACTCCGAACGTAAAATCGCGATATCTGAGCCAGTGTCACATGGCCGAGCGGAGTGTGCTTGCACATCTGGCTCTAACAAAAGGGTTGCTCCATTTTGAACTCCTGCCCCGGAGCCTTGGGCGTAAAACTTCTCATCGATGGTTTGTTGGAAGCCCAGACGTGCTGTTTGAAGAGTGCGTCGGAGCGGAGATGTCATTACTAGGCCAACACTCTCCTTGAACGGAAAGTCTTCGCAGAGTTTCAGGCATTGTGCGATCCCCTTTTCTGTCAATGGAGGATCGAGAATGGTTGTGTCGTGGCCGGGGTTGTGTATCCCCTCTGCGTGCCGAACGAGATGTAACCGGAAAGACATTTCGGTGACGGTTGGCCGGTGAGTTTGCGACCGAATGGAGAGGTACAAGAGAGTGATTACAGTGAGGAAAACGATAGCTATGAATCTGATGAATATTTTCATCGTCCTGAATTTGTTGATCGGCAAGAGTAGGCCCCGAGCCTTATATCCGACCTCGGGAGCTTAATCGGACCTTCCTTCCATATTAGGAAATATCAGCCGCAACCTTGACACCAACCGCGGGGAGTTTCCAGATGGTGACTTTTGACGAATAAGAAGATATCCTGCGGGTCAGTTTGCTTCGTCTTGGATATTCCACCCTTTGTAAGTGATCCCGAGGGCCTTCATACGTCCTCTCCGAGCCTGGGTGTAAATGTATTATTCGGACGAACCGTCTTTTCAATCTCGTTCCTTCACAAAGGGATTCTCAAAGTCTAGGCCCAGAATCCAGACGTACGATACCGTACCCAGACGATGAATCTAAGGCCGGCCGCCATACGCATTCGAGAAGCCCTTCGCTCGTACTATATTGTCCAGTACCACCTCGGCCACTTTTAATCTCGCACCGCTACCTTGGGCGCAACTGATGCCATGCTGAACATCCTTGATACCGAGATTCAGGGCGGACTAAGGTGATTGACCTAGACAATATTCTCAGCAGAAGGAACGAAAACCTGTTATAAAACATGACTAGGAAATCCCACAAAAGTCAACGATCGCAGCCCGTTTTACTGTCGACCTTCGACATCATGGTATTCTTCACGTGTGGGTGCAACAGCATCTGCATCTATATCATGGCTACGACACGGGACATTTCTATCAATCTTGAAAGCAAGCGACCTGAATTCCATTTCCAAAATCGAGTTGTGCGTGTTCGCCTGGATGGCAACATGGGAAAAGCGCACGCAAATTTCAAAGACCATTTACTTCCGAGGCCACAGCCTAGGTTTACGATAAACGTGTTGTTCCAATATGGCAGGGGCAAAGGTATACATATAACTGGGGTGTCATCCCGTAAATAGCATTAAAACTTCACAAAATTTTTGAGGTGCCTATACATGGGACATATCCAAACCGCAACGCCCGGCAAAAGCACTATCTAACATGCACAAATGATCCGAGCTTTATTTCTTCTCGCCCTTCTCGCCCTTCTCAAGCTTGCGTCTCTTGGAGCGGAGCTTGGCGGACTCATCAGCAGTCTTCTTGTTGGAATACATCATCTTCTCAAGCAGCTTGCGCTTCTTCCGACTCATCATCATCTTCTGTCTCTCAAGCTCCTCGTCCTCGCTACGCTTCTTCGCAGCGACCTTCTTGGACTTGGAAGACTTCTTCTTGGCAGCTTCATCAGTGGCGGCGTTGGCGGTGAAAGGCAGACCAGCGGCTTCGGCCTCGAGCTCCTTCTGGTGCCGAGTGCGGGCAGCCTCATCGTCGTCTTCGGACTCGGATGCGGCTTCCTCTTCAAAGCCGCCGAAGTCTTCGACTTCCTCCTCAGACTCCTCCTCGCTCTCGTCGTCAGTGCCGGCGACATCCATGCCTCCATCGACAGACTCTTCCTCGGACTCTTCAGCAGTAGCAGGCTTAGCGTCAGCCGCGGGCTCGTCCTCCATCTCCTCATCGCTATCAGAGGCCTCGGCGGCAATCTCGGCTTCATCCTCCTCCTCCTGATCGGCAAGGGTGGCGCGCGGGTCGTAAGCGCCGCGAGTAGCCTTGACCCAAGGGCTCAAGTGGGGTGGGAGAGTGGCACCGGGTGCGTAGAGATCAGCTCGGAGGAGCTTACCCTCGTTAATGCAGTCCCAGACCCACTGGGGCTGGACGTAGGTACGGCCAGGAATGCGGGTTCCAGGCTGGACCTTCTGGACAGCGTTCTCATCGGCAGCAGGAATGGCGGGAAGAGATCCCTGGGGAAGTTGGGGGCGATCGACGATTTGGTGAGTGATGCGAGGGTCGGTCTCGTCATTAGTGAAAGCTCCATCACCCAGAACGGAGGCCCATCCAACACGCTTGCAGCCGAATGAGCGGAGAATGAACTCGAGAGGGGCTTTAGGCGCTTCACGGGAAATGTAGAACACAAAGGGGGCGAAGAGTGCACCGGCCTCGTTGCCGCTCATCGCAGGTTGGGGGAGGGTGTCAGCTTCAGGAGCAGCGGGCTCGAAGTGGTCGATGGCATCGGTTGCCTCGTCGGTAGTGTCGACCATCTCCTCATCCGTGTTCTGGTCCAAACTGGCCTTCTTAATTACCTTGTCAACCTTGGCTTGGAGTTCCTTGGAAACTTCCTTGTTAGAGTTGCCGTTGCTCTGAGCCTTGCTAGCCTCAATAGCCTTGGGCACCTGACCGACTGTCCGGCCCTCAAGAGTGAAAGCCGCCAACTCGGCACCGTTCTCGTCACTGCGGGTATCGAACTTAGGGGGGTATCTCAATCCAATTGAGGAGTATAGGCGGAAGTTGACGAAGCCCAGCAGGGTGGTGTAAAACTCGACAAAAGTAGCCATGATACGGTAATCGACGTCGCCATTGACACGCTGAACGAAACGGTATGGCACAAGCCACATAATGTCTTGGCCCTGGATCGTAGCCTGGTAGTAGATGCCCTTAATAGAAAGGAAGGATCTGCGCAGAGAATTTGTCATGATCAGGTAGTGCTGGAACTCATGGCAAAGGCGCTGACAGAGCGCAACGGTCTTAGAAGGAACATGGTCGGTGGAGGGAAGGGTAGCAAAGAGGAAGAGAAGAGACAGAGCGTCATCAAGATCACGGAGAGCATCGATAAAGGTCGGGTAGCGCTCTTTAATGACATGGTCCAAGGTGAGCTTCGGAGCGTTATTCTTCTCTAAGCGGGAGGCATCGCTGACTTCTCCACGGCCGAGAGAGCGAGCAATCTTCTTCGCAAGTGCCTTCTGGTCACGGAACTTGTTGAGCAGCGGCTCATGTAGCAGATACTGGATGTCCTTGGTGTAATAGAAGGTGGTGTTGGGCGTAGAGGTCTTAGAGGCCTTCTTCTTACTACGGGGCTCGCGAGGGTAGATACCTGATATCGGAATTCATGTTAGTCTTGCGATTCAGATGAAAGACCGATAGAAGAGGCAATTACCCTTGAAGATGCATAGTCGGCGAAAATCTGGCAAAGAGATCTGAAGTTTGCGCACGGCCTGAGTTCTGGTAATGTAGTTCTTGGCTGCGCCAGAGGTACCTGCAAGGACGGTCAGTAGATTCAATTGAAATTGCCGGTTCATTTCAACATACCCTTCTTCTTAACTTTGCCCATGATGAAAAGTGGTTGTCAAAAGATCTAAACGGGCTGCTGATAAGAAGAAGAAAATTTCTCGATAACTTTTTTTTCTTACCGCAACAAAGTGGCCCGTGCCCGAAGGCGGAGAGCGTTGGCTCCATGGGGACCAGCTGGAATCAACAACCAAACCCTCACCCCGTCATGGCTGTAGACCGACGGAAGATTGCTGTATTTGGCGCAGCTTTCGTGCTGCGTCTGCTTCTTACATGTCTTTTTCCTTCATTGCCTGATTTGTTAACGGGGAGAGTCGAAGTCTCAACACCTGTTAATAGCTTCAAACGCCGTACGTGTCTCCGATTATTGACTCCGCATTCTGTAAACTAATTGCATGTAGTGCAAGAAGGCCTTTTCTTGTACACAAGAAATGTGTCGCCTTATGATGGTGGCGTCTTCCACCAGGTTCGTGGAACTAGATCCCTGCGACTCCGTTCCTTGAATTGACAATTTGATGATCTAGGCACCGCTCCTGTTACCTCTGTTTGCCCTACTCCCGGATGCGAAGAGCTGGCCCTTGCCAACAGCAATTTTCTACTTCCTTGTCGACCTCATGAACGCGTACGCATTGATGACTATATCTGCGTCGGGCCAGTCAGTCAAATCGAGACTACACTCAGCAGTCCGAAAACATGTTCGATGGGATGGAGTGTCCGTTGCAGCATGGTATAAATCTCTGGCTTCCCCATCATATGTATATCTACATGCTTACGACGGATAGGTTCTTGTTCAATCCCCTTACTATTGCGACATGTTTAGCGCGGTCAACCAGCGTATTTACGACATCCGGAATCCTCTTCGCCATCTCCAATGCAGTCGGCGGAAATAGCATCAATGCGATGCTAGCCCTTGGATTTGCTTCATACCTGTCTCTGTACCCGGCGCTGCTATTTATCCCGTTGGTCTTGCTATGCTATGACCGGCGGTTGGAGGGACCTAGCCCACCCAGTGCTGGATCGTTCATTATCCAACATGCTATCCTACTGCTAGCCAGTGTGGCAGGCCTGCTTGGCCTATCCTGTCTGATCACCGGCAACTTTTGGGAGTTTATCTCGGCAACATATGGTTTCCATCTTTTGGTTCCAGACTTGACTCCGAACGTGGGGCTGTGGTGGTACTTTTTTATTGAGATGTTCGACTCATTTCGAGAGTTCTTCCTCGGCGTTTTCTGGCTTCATTTGGCCAGCTATGTCGGGGGTCTCACTGCTCGCTTCCGAAGTCAGCCATTATTCGTGATTACCTCGCTATTGGGTGTCTTCGCCGTGTTCAAGCCATACCCTAGCATCTCAGATGCATCACTGTTCTTCGCATTGCTACCATTATATCGCCACCTTTTCCCATGTGAGTATTTCCAATAATTGAGCATATCTCAGGATCAACTTGACTAATTTGGTACAGTGATGCGTTATACCTTCTTTGCGGGCTCGGCAATCTTGTACTCCAGTCTTCTCGGTCCGGCTTTCTACCACCTTTGGATCTACGCAGGATCCGGAAATGCCAATTTCTTCTACGCCATCACTCTAGTCTGGAGTTTGGGCCTCTCCATCCTCCTGGCCGACACCATCTTTGCCGCTCTCAGAGACGAGTGGGAGCAAGAACACCCAGAGCAAGTGGGCACAGAGGTGCGACAGGTGTAGTGTATGCACGCCACTATCCTCATATCCACTATTAGCATTCAAACCCTTAACAAAGAGATATCCAGCTATTATAATTTCAAAATTTTCGACAAGATCAAATAGTCAACATCCTTTATAGTCCCGTTGCGCAACTTGCGCGGTCGGGGCGAATACTCATCAACCTCATAACCAAGCCGCTCATAGAACCGCCGAGCAATTTCATTCGACTTGAAAACCGTCAGCATAGACTTCTCCAAGCCGACAGCACCAGCGATCGCCTCCATCCGACCAATAAGCAACCTCCCGACGCCCCGTCCCCGGGCCGTCGGCGACAAGTGAATCTCGTAGCAGTAAACAACCTCTTTTCCGTCCTCGTATGTGACCATAAATGATAAAAAGCCAAGCACGTTCCCAGAAACAGTATCAGGCGATGAAATAGATTCCTCGCGTTCCTTCGGGGGTGGAGACGGAGCATTGTTGTCGGCAATATCCCGCTGCTTCTCTCTCGGAACTCGCCCACTAGGATCACTATTATCATTCGGCGCGTCCCGCAAAATCAAATACTTCATATCTGGCAACTTCATCTCCTTCCGCTTCTTGGTACGTGACCAGCCTGCGTTCGACGCCATGTAGGCTTGACTTGAGGTTTGCTCGATCAGATCCAGACATGCTTCCAGATCAGCCGCGGGGATAGTTGCCGCAGAGTAGACATCCATGAGCGACATGGGGATCATATCCTGCTGTGGCTGATCTTGAGATGGATGTAGTTGATCAATCGCATCATTTTCAGCTGAATCTCCTACTTGCGTCGGTGGAGTCACGTATTGGGCGACGAAGTCGCTAATAGATAATGCGTTGGTCTGTTCAACCAGTGGGACTAAGGGATTATTAGCACGCGTCGCCATTTGGTTAAAGCAAATCAATAAAACATGTTTTGAGGATGAAATATGCTTGTGACAGTGGTGTATTTACTCACTTTTGCTGGACACGCGTCGGGTTGTGGTTCGCGGTGTTTTGGCTTTAAATTTCTCGACTCGGCCTTCTTTCACGGACGGCATAGTTCAAAAATATGTCAGAGGAAGATAGTCTCTTAATTCAGCTTGTATGACAGGGTTTTGCGTTTCATAGTTGAAGGATGTTCTGGTGAGGGGCCGGGACCCCGGACTTTTGACGGGAAGTTATATGCCCGATTTGAGTTGTCATACATATAGTTATCCCCTTCTTGTCCTTCATCCTATATTTTTACCTTCTTCATCCCTGGAGAACAATCCTCATTTCTTGCTATCCTTCCGTCTTTGAATATCAAATCCTTTTAGTCTCATTCTCTTTGCTCTTCTCCCTGGATACGCCTATGCCACCATGTTCGCCGGATTAAACCACCTACATGGAATCCCAGTGCATCTAACAAGGCCATTATGCTGTGAGAAGATCACCTGTTTATTAGCGGATATATGATCCGCAGCAGCCGAGTCACCGAATTACATATTTCCCTACTCAACCTTGTGATTTGATATATATCCCAAGGTTCGAAAGGTAATATCTCCTATCAATTAATAATTCACATCATAAAACCTGTATAGGAGCTCTTGGCTACCAATAAACATGAAGCAGATATCCACCTTCTTAATAATCCTTTCGTCATAAGGTCACTGAAATCGGACGGATGCATCTGCCGATACGTCAAATACGTCAGAGGGCTTCAATATAAACCCCCAACCCCCATACTCATTTTGTCATACGTAGTATACTTTTTTGAATATATTGATACATTTTAGTACAATGCCTTCTTCCACTATGAAACAATGGATTGTTGAAGATGACAAACATGACTTCGACGGTCTTGTTTGCAAGGATGTTCCTGTTCCCAAACCCGGTGAAAATGAAGTCTTGGTGAAGCTCCAAGCTGCGTCGCTGAACTATCGCGACCTAACCATTCCAAAGGTATGGCCTTTGCACGAGAAAGCCAATATTTTATACTTTGACTGAATTGTTTGCGCAACACCATTACTTTGCCATAACCGGCCTCTAACTTCTCTCCCACAGGGCCTCTATCCATTTCCTCTCAATTTGCCTGTAGTGCCGGGATCTGATGGCGCCGGCGAAGTTATCGAAGTGGGATCCAAAGTCGTTGAATTCAAAAAGGGCGACCGAGTTGCGACTCTCTTCAATCAGGGCCACCAATACGGCGACATTGACATACACGCAGCGAATACTGGACTAGGTGGTGTGATCGACGGTACCCTGCGTGAATATGGCGTATTCAATGAACTGGGTCTTGTCAAGGCGCCAAAAAATCTCGATGTCCGCGAAGCTAGCACCCTCCCGTGCGCAGCGCTCACCAGCTGGAATGCACTATATGGCCTGAAGCCTCTGAGGCCGGGCCAGACCGTTCTGGTTCAAGGAACTGGTGGTGTCAGTATGTTTAGCTTGCAGGTTAGTACCAAACTCATCTGCTCTCCTTCATAATAGACTTGGCTAATGCTGCTTGTTTTATAGTTCGCCAAAGTTGCTGGTGCGACAGTCATCGCGACAACCTCTTCTCCCCAGAAGGCCGAGAGGCTCAAGAAGCTTGGGGCTGATCATGTCATCAATTATAAGACTGAGCCTAACTGGGGCGATGCTGCTCGCAAGCTGACCCCCGACGGAGCTGGCGTGGACCAGATTGTCGAAGTGGGTGGCAGCGGAACGCTTCATGAGAGCTTCAAGTGTATTAAGTACGACGGTGTCATTAGTGTCATTGGGTTCCTTTCAGGCGTAGACCCGAAGAAGCAGCCGGTTGTTTTGGAGGCCTTGACTCACATCTGCACTGTGCGTGGTGTTTATGTTGGTAGCAAAGCTCTCATGAGGGATATGGTCCGAGCCATCGAGGCTAATGATATCCACCCTTTGATGGATGACAAGGTGTTCACCCTTGACCAGACACGGGAAGCCTATGATCATATGGTAAGTTGTTTTTAATTAGGAAGGAGGGATTGAATGCTAACAGATCGAAATTCAGTGGACCCAGAAGCACTTTGGAAAGTTGACTATCAAGATCAACTAAGAAGTGGAATGAAAAGAGGCTAGGGAGCAGCGTTAATATAACATAAGTCTTGCTGGCATCCGTTGTGACAACTTTCTAATGTTGGAAAGTGCGAGAGACAAGGAAAAGGAAGCTACTACTGATGACTCAACAGCGGGTGGCCCAGTGGTAACATGCTTTGCGTGTACTACGAGGGAAGTGCCTAAGATCTTCCACTACCTGGACTGTTCCGGTTCGACTCTTGTCGTTCTCTCATTTACCTTTTTTTTTTTATGCTCATTCATCCTGTTTATAAATCTCAAATAAACAATGAAGTTTTTATTAGTGGAGAACATACAATACTTAGAACTATCCTAGTGTCTTTGCAGTTTTCAAGAAGGCAGTCAACTTAAAAACTGGTAGTAATTCGAAAATAGTATGTTGATGTCCGAGATGAGGTGAGGCTCATTCTGGTTGGACAGCGGTAGCTTCCCCGCCACTTCCGTCCCCTGCAGGAGTTAAAACCAACCACCTGCTTCTTTTCCTCTGTTACACTCAAGCATACAAGTTTTCTATAGTCTCTTGTGAGACATTTCGTAAATAACCTTTTTTTCATACTTATTTCCGCCTCCTGGGCGAGATACCTCATCCAACAACCTACCTATCTTCAATGGAGGTCATTAATAGAGATACCTCAACCCTCCCAATCCAGGGCCCTAGCCAAAGTGCACGACAGCTACAAGCATCATTTGTTTATCCGGCTCAAATGGCCATGTTTGCACGTGTCACATCCTATCCTCCGCTGGGACAAATCACTTGTCTCCAAACGGCGAAGAAGGCATCGCGATTGGAAGAAGATGCGGTGAGTCCCCCAAATATGGTCATATCTGATATTGCCAGACTTTCTGAAATGATTGAGGGTGTAATGCAAAGGAATACTAAAATTGTCAACAGCTACGTTTCACGGTCACTATCGAGTCCAGCGGCTCATTCCCCGAACAATCATGGGAAGCACAGATCTGGCATAACATCACTGGCCCCGAATGGGAACATCTGCCATTGCAAAGATGTAACACAGATCATGCTGATCTTTTGTCCGGAAACGATGAAGAGTACAACTATCATCGCTATGTATTCTCAGAAGAGATAATCCTACCAGCCCCAGGAGGTCATGCACAGTTCACAGTCCGGTTCCGAACCAGCCCAGACACAGAATGGCAGTGGGCTAATCAAAGACACCCGGTGGGCGACGGTGAAATTCTATATAGTGCACGCTACTCTGATCTTGACAACGCTGTGTCCACTGGTGTCGCTGCACGAGCTCCCAAAGAGCAACTAGAAAAGTACATCGATAATCTTCATGGTGACTTGCGGATTGAGTCTCGACCCAGTGAAGCTCCTGGATCGATCCTCTGGGCTCTTTCTGGAGATACAGATGCTGTTCGAAATGGATCTTCAACCATCAAACAACTTGCACTTGGGACCGCTTCGTCGGTGGTGAGGTACTTCTCACTAGTACGTGTGGGGAGCGCATGGCTTGGCCCTAGACATGGCAAAGATAAATTTCGACTTACTGAAGATGCGATATTTTGCTCTTTCCTGCGTGATGATGGCGTGAATCTTGTTCTACTGGCCGTTTCTGGAGTCAACGATGTTTTGACCGTGTTTCAGTCAGGTGGGAACGGTGAAGTCGTGATCTCCGCAAAAAGTGACGATTTAGAAGCATCTGAATTCCATGTGCTTGTTAGCGCAGCGGAAAACTTTGAAGTTGCCATGTCTGCAGTGGTTTATGAGGCACGGAAAGTCGTCAGGCCATTTGCTGATACGAGTAATCTGGATTTGGACGATTCGGTCCCACTATCTCCCCCTGGTGATGATATGGTCATTGTTGAGAAAGACCCGAGTGCACAGTGGCTTTCTGAGTGGTTCGACGGTCTCACATATTGTACCTGGAATGGGCTTGGACAGGACCTCACCGAAGAGAAGATCTTGCATGCCTTAGACTCGTTGAAGGCGAATGGGATCAACATCGTCAATCTTATTATCGATGATGGCTGGCAGACAACCGACAATGAAGGGCAGTCTCAGTTCAAGCAAGGCTGGAAGCAGTTCGAAGCACACCCGAAAGGATTTCCGGAAGGATTGAAGCATACTGTGGGAGCTATTCGTCGATCACATCCCGATATCGACCATATCGCGGTCTGGCATGCCTTGCTGGGTTATTGGGGAGGTATCTCACCAGATGGGGATCTAGCCCAAAAATTCAAAACAAAGCAAGTGAAGATCAAAGACGCAGCTGCCAATGGGTCATTCACGGAGAGCCCTCTAGATGGCACAATCGTTGCCATTGATCCCGATGATATCAACCGATTCTACGATGAGTTCTATGACTACCTTACGTCTGTTGGTATAGACTCGGTCAAGACAGATGCACAATTCTTCCTTGACCTCCTTGATGACCCAGCGGACCGCCGAAGATTCTTGACTTCTTATCAAGATGCATGGTCTATCGCATCACTTAAGCACTTGAGCACTCGGTCAATCTCATGCGGGTCAATGACCCCTCAAATAATCTTCCATTCACAAATGCCCACCAACAAGCCCACTATTCCATTGCGAAACTCCGACGACTTCTTTCCAGATGTTGTTGCCTCTCACCCATGGCATGTGTTTTGTAATGCTCATAATGCATTACTCACCCGATATTTGAACGTATTGCCGGATTGGGATATGTTCCAAACAAGTCACCTATACGCGTCATTCCACGCTGCAGCTCGATGTGTATCCGGAGGGCCAATTTATATCACCGATGAGCCGGGTAAACATGACCTGGCCCTACTCAATCAGATAACTGCACCTACTGTCAAAGGAATCACGGTGATCTTGCGTCCTAGTGTCATTGGACGCACGATAGACATATACAACGACTACGACGAAGGACGTGTTCTGCGCGTTGGAAGCTATACCGGCTGGGCCAAGACTGGAAGTGGAATCTTAGGCGTTTTCAATATTCAATCTGCCGAGGCCTCGATCATAGTCCCATTGATGGATTTCCCAGGAATTCACGAGGACTCCGAAGGCCAGTATATTGTGCGTGCACACAGCAGCGGTAGGATATCGCATCGCATGCGGCCGTTGAGCCGGGAATCTCTGGTATCAGTTGTTCTGGGGCCAAAGGGCTGGGAGATCCTCACTGCTTACCCGACTCAGTCGTTCATGCTGACGGGCAGCCATGACGGCAACTCTTCTGGTGACCGTCTGACACACGTGGCTGTGCTCGGTCTTTTGGGAAAGATGACTGGTGTAGCGGCTATAGTGACTTCAGATATATCTGTTGTTGAGAATGGTCGTTTACGAGTTGACATCAGCTTAAAAGCGCTGGGCACTCTGGGGATCTATTTCTCGGATCTTCAAGACAGGAGCATTGCACGAAACTTCATGGTCATGATTTTGGGACGACCAGTTCCACAGAATACGGTATGGAAACAAGGTGGAGAGAATGCTAATGTCCTGGCAATCGATATATTGGCGGCATGGAAATCGATGAAATTGGACAGTGGATGGAGTAACGAGGCATTCGTGCAGGTTTTTGTGAGTTGACGTAGCACTTGAAGCCAGTCGTCTTTAAAGACTTTACCATTTTGTTTGCTAGATGGAGAGAGTATTATTCCAACATGGCATCTTTCTCTACAATCACGGATCTGAATCCCAGTCCATGTACTTCTCTGGCCCTAAGCCCTAAATATAGCCCAAATTAGGAAATCAATCAACATATCAGAGATAAGGGCCGCATCATTAATGTTCCGCACGTATCGAAAGAATCTCGGACATCTGGAGCTGGCCCTGGAGGTGTTGATCGTGTGCAGACTCGAGTCCATTGTGAGCCGTTTTATTAATATCCTCATTCTCACACCGGTCCAATGCGACTACAGTCGGCATCGCTCGGCCCAGCGCCATACCGCAGCCTTCTCACACCCCGTCGGATCCCGTGCGGAGCGCGCAGTTTTGCCGCAACAACAGCGATTCTGCCGCGCGGTGACAGCAATCGGCCAGTATTGTCCACCTTGCAGTCCGGGACATGCTTTCAACAGCAGAGATGGATTACACAAAAGTATATCCAGCGTATGAAAGACGGGGAGCAGGAATGGGCCGGCTTCGCGGAGGAGATCAAAGCCGGGAAGAGGAAGAACTTCGCGCAACACTTGGAAGAGCGAGGATTGATCCATGATGTTGTCGGGTATGTGCACACTAGGATATAATGAAGTTGCTGGCATTTGCTGCCGGAAATGTTTTGAATGGCTCGCTAATCGTTTCCTTTCGATTACAGTGAACGGGACTTGTTGCACAAGGTCTTCACAGAGAAGCGGGTTGGAATATATGTTGGAGTCGACCCGACTGCCCCCTCAATGCACGTTGGACACATGCTTCCTTTCATGGTTCTGGCCTGGGGATATGTCTGGGGATTACCTGTGACATTTCTAGTAAGTTGCCTACTTCACGCCAAATTGAATGCACCAACCTAATACTCCATAGCTCGGCGGTGCTACTTCTAGAGTCGGCGACCCCAGCGGGCGCCTCAAAGGCCGAGATGCTGTCCATTCCTCAATCCGGAAAGCAAACATGGCTAGCATGCATATGCAGTTGAAGAAGTTGGGCTCGAGCATTGAGCACTACGGCAGGAGACACGGACACGAGAAGAACCCAATGTGGAAGCGGGCGTTGACAAATAACAACACTTGGTGGAACTCGATGCCCTTCCTTGAAGTGTTGCGAGACCTTGGCGCTTTCATGCGACTTGGTCCCATGCTCGGCAGAGATACGTGAGTTTTGGCAGGTCCGACAGTGCTGTTGACGCGGGTTTACTGAACTTTTCTACTAGTGTCAAGACGCGATTGAACCAAGGAGATGGCATGTCATTTGCTGAGTTTTCCTATCCTATTCTCCAGGCATGGGATTGGTGGACGCTGTTCCAACAGGGCACTCAAATCCAAGTCGGAGGTGCCGACCAATATGGAAATATTCTGTTCGGTATGGAGGCTGTCAAGTCTATCAGCCGAAACACTGCCGACGAACAACTCCGCAATCCATTAGAATCAGAATTAGATCGCCCGATCGGTTTCACTACGCCGCTTCTGACAACCCCGTCCGGCGAGAAGCTCGGCAAGTCTGCTGGAAACGCCGTTTGGCTCGATAAGGACCTGACTTCTACATTCGAACTTTACCAGTACTTTGTGCGCACGCCTGACGATGTTGTCGAGCAATATCTCAAGATGTTCACTTTCGTACCCTTGCCTGAAATCGCTACCATCATGGAGGAGCAGAACAAGGACCCATCTCAGCGCGTTGCGCAGCACAAGCTCGCGCATGAGTTTGTCGAGCTTATCCATGGTAAGGTCGAAGCTGATGCCGTGGCTCTCCAACATCGCCAGCTATTCCGTCCCCGATCCTCAACCGCAGAGCCCACTCCTCTTCCCAAGTCATCCTCTCCTCAATCTGGTCATCCGCAATCCCCCACCGCTGGCTTCTCGACTCCTCAGTCCGGAAATCCATATGCCCCCCAAACAAATTGGGCCAACATGGGAGATTTCAAGGTCACACTGCCCGAATCGCTGGTTTTCAACCAGCCGTTCAATAAAATTCTATGGTCAGCCGGCCTTGTTTCATCCAAGAGCGAGGGCCACCGAGTCATCGTCAACAATGGCGCCAAAGTCGGCAGCCGTCCTGGTGATAGTGGCCCCATGTCAGACCAATTATCCTTCACACCTATCCGGCCGTGGGACGCAGAGAAAACAAAGGAGTTTGTCTTGAACGGCAACCTTCTAATGTTAAAGTTGGGCAAGTGGAAGCTCAAGGCTGTTCACATTGTGCCCGATGAAGAATATCGTGCGCAAGGTCTCACGGCTCCTGGATGGGAGACTGAATCTGAGTAGATTGAGCCGACAGAGCCGACCAAGTCGGACTAAGGCGAATCTCCACTAAATCTGTAATGCTACAATATTCAATCTGTACAATAGTATAAATATTATCAAGCCATCTTCATAAAGACAAATAAGACTTCGCAAGTGCTCATAACAGGTGGAGAAAAGACAAGGTCACGGGTGTCGATCAATGGATAGGTCGAGTCTCGAAGTGCTTTACGCGTCGACGCGATCCGCGCCTTATCTCCACCCGTCCCCAATTCCCTCACAACTCCCCTGATTACTATGTTGAGTTGAGAGTGTATTTTCATTTGATCTCAATTGCTTTGATCTCATAAGAAAAATATGGCCAAACCATCGGCCTCATCTCCGTCCGCTGCGTCGCCATCCCCCGCGCTCAAGCGCACAACTCCCAGCACCCAGAACATGCGAACCCAGAAGTCAATTCTTGGTTTCTTCCAAAAGTCCTCACCAGCGACCCCCTCGAATAGTCGAACGCGAGAACCGGCATCTTCCCCCGCGCAGAGAGCTTCCGAGAAGCGGAGTGAGGGCGCTGTCAAGCCCACACCGAAGGAACAAAAGCGAAGCTTCTCAAGCTTTGCGCAGGATCTGAGTCCCGTCCCAAGCAGCGACCTTCCAGTCCCAGAGGACGAACAGGAAAATGGTAGTTCTTTAAAGGTATATTGATTCGGACTCTGCTGCTTGTTTATTCCTTTAATCTGACCGAACTTTTCCCTTCCTAGACGACCAAAGAGGCACAACAGGAGTCCACTATGTCACCTTCGCGTCGGGTACGTGTGGCATCTGATTGCTCAATTGATGTATCTTGTTAACCCATCTGTCTAGGGGAAAAAGCAGGTCAGCTACAAGGAGTCTGACTCTGAGGGCGAGGATGACGACGAGGTCATCTTCCGTCCTAAACGCAAGGACCGCGTCTCCGGCCGTGCGACCAAGAGAAGACGAACCGAGCCGGAAAGCGAAGATGAGTTCAACGAGGCAGGAGATGGAGGATACTCGGATGATGGTATGGTATTCTTTTGCTGGTTGGGTTTGCTGGTACACGACTGACTAGGATATAGAATTGGACGATTTCATCGTTGCAGATGATTCTGATGAAGAGACGGTTACATCTTCAAACAAGAGGAAAAGACCATCCACACAATCGGCACGGAAGCCTACCTCTAAATCTTCCTCCGTCCCTGCTCCTCCTCCACCCGATGATGACCTCGACCTTGATGTCCCAGAGGGAGAAGGTTCAGCTGGAACCGCGATGCGATGGGCGTTTGATCCGGAGAATACAGAACCTCGGAAAGAACGAGCTGCTGTAGCGTCTACCAAGACAGCATCTAGCGCGAAAAAGGAAAAGGCCCACATCAAGGAGCCTGAGCAGCGCTATTCATGGCTTGCTAATCTCAAGGACATCGACGGCAACCCTAAGGGCCACCCTGACTACGACCCGCGAACTGTCTATATCCCTCCGCTCGCATGGTCTAGATTTTCCCCTTTCGAGAAACAATACTGGGAGATCAAGCAGAAATTCTGGGATACTGTCGTTTTCTTCAAGAAGGGCAAGTTCTATGAACTCTATGAGAACGATGCCACTATTGGTCACCAACTTTTTGATCTCAAGCTCACGGACAGAGTGAACATGCGCATGGTTGGTGTTCCCGAGATGAGTTTAGATCACTGGGCGAACCAATTCGTGGCCAAGGGCTTCAAGATTGCCCGTGTGGACCAATCTGAATCCGCGCTGGGTAAAGAAATGCGAGAGAGAGAGGGCAAGAAGCCCACCAAAGAAGACAAGATCATCAAACGCGAGCTTGCCTGTGTTCTTACTGCGGGTACACTGGTCGAGGGTTCCATGCTTCAAGATGATATGTCCACATACTGTGTTGCGATTAAGGAGGCCATTGTGGACGAGCATCCCGCGTTCGGTATCGCGTTTGTCGATACTGCTACCGGTCAATTCTTCTTGTCTGAGTTTGTGGACGATGTTGACATGACCAAGTTCGAAACCTTTGTCGCGCAGACCCGCCCTCGGGAGTTGCTACTGGAGAAATCTTGCGTTTCACAAAAGGCCATGCGCATTCTGAAAAATAACACTGGACCCACCACTATCTGGAATTTCATGAAACCTGGTAAGGAGTTCTGGGAATCTGATATCACTGTTCGGGAGCTTGAGGCAAGCGAGTATTTCGTCTCTGTGGACGACGATAATCTCACTGCCTGGCCCGAGACCCTGCGTCAAGCTCGCGAGAAGGAATTACTGATGTCTGCATTCGGTGCTCTGGTTCAATATCTGCGAATGCTGAAGATTGAGCGAGACTTGATCACCATTGGCAACTTCACGTGGTACGATCCCATCAAGAAGGCTACAAGTCTTGTACTAGACGGCCAGACCCTGATCAACATGGAGATCTTCGCCAATTCCTTCGATGGCGGGTCTGAGGGCACTCTCTTCCAGTTGCTCAACCGATGCATTACGCCCTTCGGCAAACGCATGTTCAAGCAATGGGTATGCCACCCATTGATTGATTCAAAGAAAATCAACGCAAGATTAGATGCAGTTGATTCACTCAACTCCGATCCCAGTACCCGGGATCAGTTCTCCTCCCAATTAACAAAGATGCCGGATCTCGAACGACTGATCTCCCGTATCCACGCTGGCAACTGCAAGGCTCAAGACTTTGTACGTGTCCTAGAAGGATTCGAACAAATCGATTACATCATGGGTCTCCTTAAGGAAAGTGACACGGGCTCAGGCGAAAGCATTATCGGTCAATTGACAACAGCGATGCCCGATCTTGCCTCTCTGCTGGGATACTGGAAGACCGCATTCGATCGTCCAAAGGCAAAAGAGAATGGGATTCTTGTTCCGGAGTCTGGTGTCGAAGAAGACTTCGATAACTCCCAGGAGATCATTGAGCAACTCCACCGGGACCTCGACGCCATGCTGAAGCAAGCTCGCCGAGATTTGGGGTCCTCTGCTATATGCTACCGGGATAACGGCAAGGAAATTTACCAACTCGAAGTTCCCATCAAAGTGAAGAATATTCCCAAGAATTGGAACCAGATGTCTGCGACCAAGCAGGTCAAGCGATACTACTTTCCCGAGCTCCGAAGCCTCATTCGCAAATTGCAAGAGGCCCAAGAAACCCACAGTCAAATCGTCAAGGAGGTCGCTGGGCGGTTCCATGCCCGGTTCGATGAGCATTACAGCACATGGCTGGCTGCTGTTAGAATTGTATCGCAGCTCGATTGCCTCATCAGTTTAGCTAAGGCTTCCGGGGCCATCGGTCATCCTAGTTGCCGACCAGTGTTTGTGGACGACGAACGAAGTGTCCTCGAGTTTGAAGAGCTCCGTCACCCTTGTCTTCTTTCCTCTGTTGAGGACTTTATTCCCAACGACATCCAGCTCGGCGGCAAACATGCTAGCATTGACTTGCTGACCGGTGCTAATGCTGCCGGAAAGTCTACTGTTCTCCGAATGGTGTGTCCACCTCGGTTCTCCCTTTATTTTAATGATGTTGCTAACAAGTATAGACCTGTGTTGCTGTCATTATGGCCCAGATCGGTTGCTACCTTCCCTGCCAGTCAGCCCGACTGACCCCAGTCGATCGAATCATGTCTCGACTTGGTGCGAACGACAACATCTTCGCTGCCCAGTCAACATTCTTTGTTGAGTTGTCCGAAACAAAGAAGATTCTCTCCGAGGCTACTCCGCGCTCACTCGTCATTCTTGATGAACTTGGCCGCGGAACTAGCTCTTATGACGGTGTTGCCGTGGCTCAGGCCGTACTTCATCACATCGCTACCCATATTGGAGCTTTGGGCTTCTTTGCCACCCACTACCACTCGCTTGCTGCCGAGTTCGAAAATCATCCCGAAATTGCACCCAAGCGTATGGCCATTCATGTCGACGATGTCGAGCGCCGTGTGGCTTTCCTGTACAAGCTTGAGAATGGTGTCGCAGAAGGCAGTTTCGGTATGCACTGTGCATCTATGTGTGGGATTCCGAGCAAAATTATTGAACGTGCGGAGACTGCTGCCAAGCAGTGGGAACACACTAGCCGGCTCAAAGAGAGCCTGGAGCGCCGTAAGGGTGGTGGCTTCGTGGGTCTGGGCTGGTGGAGTGATGTGGCCTGGGCACTGCGCGAGTCTGTCACAGAGGAAGACTCAAATGCAGGCGATGTCTCTGATCGCGGCTTGGATGTCTTGATGAAGGCAATCGAGGCGCTTTAGTGATTGAGATACTTATTCGGTGGTGCTTCGTTCTTTATTGCGTCCATCTTCATAATTTGGGTCTATGATATTTGTGTCTATCTTTCACTTTAACTGGCCGTTCGTGTCGTTTGTCGTTTTTTATGTTGGTTCAGAGGGCGTCACTGGACCTCTTCGGTTATCTTGTTTCCCGTGAATGTGAATATCTATCCCATAGCAAAGTATGTTTTTACTTCAAATCCATTATCTAGAATGTCACACCATGTCTGAACACATTACCGGTAGCCATATCATATTATTGTGCAATGAGTTCTCATTGCCAGGCAAACATATGCCACAGCCATTCTCATGGGACAGGACAAACTAGATGCATTTAAGACGCCTTCTGCCGGGTAATTTTGGTCAAATCACAGATCCTAGGCAAATTTATGTGAGAACACCCTTCTCAAGACCCCAATCAAGACCCTTGAGAGAGACTGCGTCTCAGACATAGGCACATTTCATGACTCAGTCAATAGGCTCGGGCTTGATTTTGATATCAGCATCGGCCTCAACCTTGCTATTCTCTGATTCAGCTTCAGCCTTCACGGGGCTGTCGGTGCTCATGCCCTCTCCGGATTCAGTCTCGATCTTGATCTCAAGTTCGGGTTCGGGTTCAGGTTCGGGTGATTCAACAACTTTGTCACGGCGCTTTTTGACTCTAGCTGGCGCTTTTTCCTTCACATTGGAGTCATTCTCATTGCCTATAAGGTCCAACTGATCCTCAAACATCTTCGCCAGCTTGCGTTTGGCGGATGGAAATCGACTCGCTGCCGAGTTTCTCTTCATGCTGGTCAGCTTTCCGAGCTTGTCGGTGTCAAGCTAAATTACAGGAACAGTCAGTTTGAGTCATGACTGAAGGCAGTATTAAGAGCGTGCATACTTTTCCAGACGTGCATAGAACACTGGCCATAACCAGCTTCATTTCACCGGCTGTGAGATTACCCCAGTCCCCGGACTTCTTTTTGGGGGATGGCGTGGTCGACATTTTCTCAGTGGGTGACATATGTATGGGCTCTTTGTCTGCTTGATGAGATAGGGATTTATTGTGCTCTGCAAAGGCACTGAAGATAGGTTGTTGTGAGATATTGATGCTATGGAAAACGATCTGTTGTGTAGTGAAGAGGATAAAGAAGCAACGCTTACTTGTACTTTATTTGTGGAAATCGGGAATTTGTGATATTAGACTCGAAGGTCACAGCCTATATTATAACGGACTTTTGTACTTATTTCAATTATGGATTTCGAATTATGTATAAGTTGGATTCATCTTGAACAACACATGTCAGCTCCCTGGAACCTCAAGACTAGCTGACTGTTGCAAAGTTGGCTATTCATTCCTTCCTAATTCTCGGTATCCTCGACATGTGCAGCCTCCACAGCCTCATCAGGGTTATCCTCATCGATTCGTTCATGTTCCTCGGCTTTCTTCGTAGCCCCGGATATCACCGTCTCCTCCCATTTCTCGAGGGTGCGCCGGCCCTTAGTGTGGACAGTTCTGACGGAGGAAGGCGTAACCTTGCTAAGCGCCCCGAGCTTCTTCCGATCAATCTGTCATGAAGATTCTTAAGCTTAAGTACTCACGGAGTAACACACTTTCTCACATACCTTGGGCTTTTGCATGCACAGATATCCCATTAGGAAATGTTCCATCTAGCCTTGGGTGAGGCCTAGGGCTTTCACCAGGTTGGAGGTCTTCTCTTGCTTTTGGGTGAAAGACATGATGACTATGTGACGTGGGACAGTAATAGAAGTTGAAACGATTGTAAAGGCAAGCTTTGTGTAAAAAGCAAGTGATCATTGAAGATAAACTCTCAAGGTGACCTGAGAAGTCAGTATATAAATAGGGTCGCAAGACTGAGGGATCCCACTTCGGAAGAGACATTGCATTCATCGAAGTAATAAAATAAACCGAAGGGATGAGCTTCTCGAGTGACCTCTTCATCCAATTTGATATCGAGTTTCCCGGACTGGAGATGGGAAATATAAAAATGGACATGTATAGATTGAACTGCTAGATACCATATCCTTCTAGCGAACTTTAATATACACCAATCCGGCATGATCTCAGTTACTCTAGAATCAATCAACTGTTTATAAAGAACCGATAGCTGCTCCCTGAAAGAAGAGACATTTATGGGTTGGGCTCTGGGTCGCCAGTTGACTGCAGGCGCCACAAATAAAATCCCCGGTTATTGGCATGTATGAATATGGCATACGTATACGTAGCTAGAATAGCAAATACAATATTCATTGTGTTTTATTTGAATGCTTTATCACTGCCTTGAGACTAAACCCCAATAGACACTTTTTTTTTTGTTTTTCTTTAAAGAGCATTCACAGTTCCCTCATCACATACTCCTCCGAACCACCTCCTAGCAATCTGGTAGAAAAAACGCTTCGCAAATCTGATACCTTGTGCTTTCGGAGTTGCTGAGCATAGAATTAATCCTGGTGCTGTTCATCCTCCTGCGCCTCCTCCTCGTAGGTATCATCTTCTTTGGCAAGTAGAGACTCAGGAAGGTGCTGGTTCACTACCAGATCACGCGCGGCCTTGTCGTTGTTGTCGATCTTGTCGCTTGCCTCCTCATCTTGCTCGGTCTGCTCAGTGGTGGCGGCAGATGCGGATGGCTCAGTGGCAGGCTCAGTGACGGTGGCCCCGTGGAAAGTACCTCCAGCGACATCAGCAGCGGACTTTGCAGTGGTAGGACTAAGCTCGGGCTTGGCGGAAACCTGGTCTGCACTCTCCTCGGTCTTGGTAGCGGCCTTGTCACCCTTGGAGGTCTTGGTCGCCTTGGTCGCCTTGGGGGACTTCACAGTCTTTGAAGTCTTGGTCGCCTTGGGGGACAAAAGAACCTTTGGAGTACGAGGCGCCTTCGCGGTGGACTTTCCTCGCTTGGAGGGAGTCTCCTCGGGCGACAGGTCGGCCGTGGCACCGTTGGCATTGGCATCAGCATTGCTATTGCCGTACATCTTGTCTAGCTTGCGCTTGGCATTGCGAAAGAGCGTCTGAGCAGAAGACGCCTTGATGCCAGCGTTCAAAGCAAGCTTCTCGTAGTCGATCTTTGTGGTCCACTGTATTAGCAAGCACATTCCAATGAGGGAACCTAGGATTAATGGCATACCTTGTCATTCTTCAGGCAGACATTGGCCAAGACCAGGAGCTTGGTCTCAGTGGCGGAAATACCGGTGAAGAGCTTCTCCTTCGGGGCAGCCGGGGAAGACATCTTGAATTAGCCGGGTTAGATTGTATGTAAGTTTGGTAGTCAAGGTCGAGCGTCGAGACGGATTTGAACTTGAAGTAACGGGTGTACAACGGAAGAAGGAAGTTGTATGGGCGAGTGGAGGTGGTGAGGAAGAGAAGGAGAAACCGCGTCGACGTGAATAGGGAAAACCAAGATTTGATAGATGTGAATCGTGCTTGAAAACGTTAAGTGAAACCGTTAACGCGGAGGTGGATGAAGAAAGAGAACATCAGCCGAGTTGGAAATGACGGATATTTAACGTCCGGACGTTCAATCACGAGCTACTGTAAGAGGCAATATGTTTGCTTTGAGAACCTTTGGTTCAGAGTTGCTTAAGATGAGAGCTAGATGAGGGTTGAGGCATATCGACACTATATGAACGGACGAATTTTCCCCTAAAGAAGGGCAAATGACTTCTTTCGTTAACGCGTGACTGAGACTTCATATGGATAGTTTCTATATGACAAAGATCCAAAACCTTAGGGTAAATGGATGTCGTGAAATAAGTCTGGCGTGTCTAATTGTCAATTGATATCCAACCAAACGTCTTCGATTAGAGTGACTGAAACTTAGCTCCGTCGATCAACCAACTGAGAGAAATGGGCATCTGACCATTAATATCGGCAGCCATCAAGTGGCGGGTATATATTCGATCAACGAGGCTGCGACTTGGCTTTCTGAATTTGCTCGTAGATTCCATTCCACAATTCTGGGTAGAAAGCCGATGTTTGTCTCCCGGGTTTGCTGTGAGTTCCAGTATAGAACTGGGTCGGAGCTCTGCCCTGCCACCATCGTTGCGGCGACGGATTCAGATTCTGGAATGTGACGGGCCGCAAGGTCTCTTTAAATGGAACGAGGTCTCCTATTCGAACAGCTGTTTGCCGAGGAATGGTGTTGAATCGCATGCTGGTGAGATACAGCACGGCCGTCGGAGGCAGGTCTTTTGCATACTGGACGGCAGCTTCACGGGACTTCCTCGCAAAGGCCGGCAACGCCAGATGGATGAAATTTACATATGGCGCCGCAGTATAGGAGACAAATATCATCGGGAGGGCACCAGCGGCAATCACTGAGGTAAAATCAGCATAGACGCTCAGGCGATGTGGATGTTCAATTAGCTTACCCGCAGGTGTGCTATACCAGGGGTAATCGTCAGCCACGGAGCATGCTGGTGCAACGAGTAGACACGCTGCACCAAATAGGAGTACCGTGGTGATTCGTAGCGTCCCCAGAAAGATAGCTCTACCCGTTCCTCCGTAGTACACTAAGATACGTTCAGGTGGTCCTGTAACTATAGCTCAGCACACGCACGTCTAACAACTGGCCGGGAGGGTTCACGGTACCTGTCCTGGTGGTTGTCTTTGGCGGTGTGAGCGTCCTTGTTACTGGAGAACGCGTAGCTGGGACGGTTTCCTTCGACTTGGGTAATGGCGAAAGATGCTTCTGCGATGGCCGAGGGATCTGTGACTTGAACCGAACCCAGACGTTCCTCCGAAGACTGCGCTGGGCACACTCTGGTAGAGTTGTGCGTAATTGAGGGTGAAGTAAAATTTGAAGTCGCATTGTGTCTATGTGTTGTAGTTGGCTTGGAATTTAGACATTGACATTGATCGATCTCCCAATAAATCGGGGCCGGCAAAAAGGTGACCGCCTTAGCTTCCGCTCCGTCTGGATTGCTAGATGAGCTGACCCCTGCCAGGTCTTTGACACATTCTCCTTTGATCTCATACCTTATGATATTGTTGATTATCTGGCTGGACTAGGCTTGAGATTTATCCGATCATTGCTTTGATGCAGGTCATGAGCAGTTAGCGCGAGCTTTCCTTCAACGCCATGTCTCCGGCTTATCGCATCCCGCCTGGCAATGTGTCACTTTGGCTAGGGCTTTTTGTCATGCTTCTAGCGTGTGTGGAAGCATACGAGAAAATATCGGATAAGACGCTGACCGAGCTCCTACGCCCCAACAACGACTTCGATATTCACAATGGCGCTCTGCTCTCACCTATACTAAGGACCCGCGTCCCTGGCACCCCCGGCTCCACCGCGGTGCTCAATCACTTCGCCGACTTTTTTCGAACCACATTGCCCAAATGGACTATTGAGATCCAGAACTCTACAGCTAAAACGCCACTATCAAAGGGGAAGGAGGTGCCCTTCCGAAACTTCATCGCTACTCGCGATCCTCCTTGGGCCTCGGTTGGTGACGTTGGCCGGCTCACTCTTGTCGCCCATTATGACAGCAAAATAGAACCGAAAGGCTTCATCGGGGGGATCGACAGTGCTGCGCCATGTGCGATGATTATGCATGCCATGCGCAGCATTGAAGCCGCGCTGGAGAAGAAATGGTCCGCGTTGAAGGAGCAGGGACTATATAACTACCTCGAAGAGGAGCGGGGCCTTCAGGTTATATTCTTAGATGGCGAAGAAGCCTTTCAAGAATGGACTTCTACCGATTCTCTCTACGGAGCTCGTGCCTTGGCTACACATTGGGATGACCAAGTCTATCCCGCGATGTCGGAATTCAAGGGTCCTCTGTCATCTATATCTCTTTTTGTCCTTTTGGATCTGCTGGGCTCGAAATCCCCGACAATTCAATCTTGGTATGAGACCACTCACTGGGCCTATCAAAGCTTGGGCGACCTTGAAAAGCGGTTCAAGACATTGAAGCAGTTCAAGTCTGTCTCGGCTGATCCGTGGTTCGTCGATACCGAGAAGGATGGGCACACGCTCTCACCTATGGGTGGCATCCAGGATGATCACATTCCTTTCCTCGCAAAGGGAGTTGAGATCCTCCATCTTATCGACTATGCCCCCTTCAAGGGATTCCCTCCTGTTTGGCATACAATCGACGATGACGGTGAGCATTTAGATTTGGATACCGTCGAGGACTGGAGCATGCTAGTTACTGGCTTCGTTGCTGAGTGGATGGAGTTGGAAGGGTACTTTGGCCATCCATCGGCCCCTAGTCCGCGCAGTGACGACGAATCGGCCAAGTTGGAAGCGCTTCGCATGGACAGAAAGACTGAGTTGTAAGCCATTCTTCCGTTTACTCACCCCTCTGTGTTTTCGGTTCCCTGTCTAGTCTTTTCCCTCTGTTATATACCCAATGCATTTATTCACAGATCAATGGCATCTATTCTCACTTGAACCGAATTTGTACATATCTTATGGTATTATTTCCTTTGCTAATCAAACCTCTGATGCAGCTCCTGAGATCTCCGGACTTCCATACTTTCTTTTCTTGCACCGTTATGCACCGATTACGACTTTATTCCCCCGAGAACACGCCAAAGTTCGACAAAGCTAATGGATAATTAATTTTCTATAATCTCTATATCCCATTCCCTTTAAATGAGGTTGCCCAGCATGTATCCACCCATGGTGATCAAACCCCAAGTTGGTTGCAGGATTGTCCGCAAGATTGCGGGGCCTGGGCATACACCTTCCAGTCCCCAGGCTAGTCCAAACGTCGCAGCACCTATAACAAACCGCCAATCTATGTCACTCACCGTGGCCGTCGGGAGTCGCCATTTCTCAGCAAGGGTAGGCTTTGCAACAGGCTTTCCCTTTTCGACCGCTTGGCCTGGTTTCTGAATCAGGAAAATAATCAGGGATGGTCCAATTCCAAATAGAATGACCAGCGCTAGCGACGGATCAAATCGGGATGGGTCAGTCAAGAAGGCAAAGAACCTGAGCACCTTTGCTGGGTCCGCCATTCCAGATATGAAAAGACCCAGACCAAATTCCAACCCTGTCACATAGGAATAGATGACCCTAGATTCCTCCGACCGGCGGGCTTTCCGGGGGACAACGATAAAGTTTGTTATACCCGCCAGCAGCACTGCACCAGCCATGAAGCCTAACTCCGACTCAGATGGATACACTGGAGCATAGCACGGGGTCGTACCACAGGACGGGATGTTGGATCTGCCCTTGACAATGTTCGCCGTGAGCAATGCAGTTGTGAAAAATATGGCGGTTGCAATCAATGAGCGGGGCGAGAGACGCGAAAGGCCACACAGCATGTGTCCGGAGGTACAGCCTTGACCGTTCTGCTTCACTTAGTCAACTTGTTCCTGGTTTTGCAATTATGTCCGATACTCCTCACCTTTGTTCCCCACCCCAATAGGAAGCCCACTCCCAACGTTGCTGCAGCAGAAGCCCAGGAGTGTGGCGACGCGGGATAGTTCGGGATCAGTGATGGTGCCAGCAAGTACACCGGCACAATACTGGATACCAAACCCGCGATGATGGGCACATTGTCACGACTCGGGCTGAAGGCGCACCCGGATAAGAGAGAGGAGATGCCGAAGACGGCGCCGTTGTGTATGAGCAGGCCTGACGAGCCGTGGAATAGTAACAGTGCGCCCAGCGTGGTATGAATTGGGGTGAACATGATGTTGATGCTCTGCGGATTCGTCTTTGTTATCCAGATTTTTTTCCTGATGTCATTGCGGGAAGTGTAATCTGGGGTTTGACGGGGATTTTTATGATAGCTGCAGTATAGGAACGCCCAGGGAATGCAGGGGGGAAAGATCTATAACCGGGGATCTTCTCAAATTCAGTGTTTTCTTAAAAAAAAGCAAAGGAACAAAGGAGTCAAGATAAGCTTTCCATATTCTTCCATGTCAAAAGGGATTTCCGGATCGGGGACCACCCACGTCGCCGTTATAAATATAGTGGTCCCCGAGCATTTTCTTTCGGCATCTCTCGGTATTCACGTAGGCCATTATGAGCTCATTGGTTGACCATCCTATTCGAACATTTACCCTCGATATCATCACCTCAAGCGCTTTCGTATACTAATTCGCCGTGTGACACCAGCCCCTACACACAGTAGCATGACAAGACGACTGGAGTAACAATCTCTAGACGAATGTCTTCAAAGAATCAGGAGACCTCCTGAGTATTATCAATGAATGTGACAATCGTGACATATGTAACAACTGTGGCACCGAAAATGAGACGTCGGAGTGAGCAGCAGACCTCTCGTAAAGCAGTCGCAATCCAGCCCCTTCTATATGTTCCATTGGTCATTATGGAGCTCCTTCCATATGTTGTTTTTTTCTTCCAGATACATCATTCAACTTGACCATATTGGAACAACCCTCAATTTTCATTCTCGTTCAGAATGGGGAACACATCCAGCGTCGTCGGCCGTGAGTGCTTCATGGCCGCTGTGGGAGGAAACCCCAATATGGCAACCTTTCGGGGAGATCTTCTATATGAATTCCGGGCCCTGCCATCCTATAACTTGGCCATTCCTGTTCACCCTGAGGTGATCACCTATCCGAAGAATACGACCCAGGTCGCTGAAATTGTGCGCTGTGCTGTCAAAGGAAACTATCAGGTGCAAGCTTACAGTGGAGGTCACAGCTATGGCAATTACGGTATGGAAGTATATCCTTGATCCAAACCTACCCTTGCTAAACCAACCGTACTATGGTAGGTCTTGGAGGAGCCGATGGTCATGTCGTCGTCGACCTGAAAGACTTCCAGAAATTCTCAATGGACCCGGACACTCATATCGCCACGATTGGGGCAGGCACAAATTTGGGTGATCTCCAAGACCGCCTTTTGCATGCAGGTGGTAGAGCAATGTCACACGGATCTTGTCCACAGGTCGGCGTTGGTGGTCATTTCACCATTGGTGGCCTCGGTCTCATGTCGCGACAATGGGGAACTGCGCTGGATCATGTTCTGGAGGCTGAAGTAGTCCTGGCCAATTCCAGCATTGTGACAGTATCGGAAACGCAGAACCAGGACATCTTCTGGGCTATCAAGGGTGCGGCAGCCAGCTTTGGCATCGTCACTGAGTTCAAAGTTCGCACTCAGGAAATTCCTAAGGGCGCTGTGCAATACACGTATACATTCAGCCAAGGGGATGTTCTTGACAAAGTCAAACTCTTCAAAGCTTGGCAATCCGTCGTGGCAAAGCCTAATATTACGCGGAATTATTCCACCGAGCTCACAATCTTCCAGGGCGGGATTGTGATCACGGGCAGCTTCTTCGGAACTAGAGAAGAGTTCCATGAATTTGAGCTGGAAAACAATCTTCCAATCCAAAACAATGGCAATGTGGCATATATTACGAATTGGCTAGCCTTGGTAGCCCACGCGGCTGAGAATTATCTTGTCTCGATCGGCGGAGCGTTACTTACGTCGTTCTACTCCAAGTCAGTATCGTTCACAGTTGACGAACTATTCACCGAGCACGCCCTAGTCGCCTTGTTTACATATCTCGACACCGCACCGAAGGGCAGTCAAAACTGGTGGGTTATTTTCGACCTAGAAGGTGGCGCAACCAACGATGTTCCCATGAATGCCACGGCCTATGTTCACCGTGATGCTGTCATGTGGATGCAATCCTATGCTGTTGTCGGCTTTGAGCCTCCTGCATTCATTGCCAGGAGGTTCCTCGATCGCTTGCATCAAGTGGTGATACAAAATCGACCACCCGGTCCTCTGCGTTCCTATCCGGGATATGTCGATCCCTACCTCGAGAATGGCCAGATGGCCTACTGGGGATCCAATCTTGGACGGCTTCAGAGTATCAAGACTCTCATTGATCCGAAGGATGTCTTCCATAACCCACAGAGCGTGGCTGTTAATCCCATTCTCAATTCTCACAATTAGGGCTGCTTGGGGAGAAATTGGGCTCCAGTTTCATATGTTTTATTGACAGGCACTGCAATAACTCTAGCCTTGCCAGTATTGCTTTTTTTGTATTTCGCGGGCATGTAGTCTTAAATTGAAATGAATTTGAACATTCTTTATGAAAAGTTAGATATGATTCTGAAGATAAAAAAGGTATCAGTCGTAGATATATAATTGATTGGTGACTTATTCAATTGGCTAGAACTTTTCTGTCTCGGAATTCGCTCTCACCACCTGTAATCTCACGATATTAATATGTAGCTTCGTATACATCGAGTCTCATACCTCTGACGTCGTTGACCGAAAGCTTCCAAATTTGGAAGTCAAGCTTGTTACTAAGCCATTTGTGGCCGCAGGAGATCAACTCAAGTTTCCATCTATAAAAAGTCATGCAGGTTGTAGTCGAATCAAACAATACCACTGCTTCGATGCATGTCACGGCTCTAACTCTCGCTTGATACCGGCTACGACGTCCCTCGGCTCCGGTGCTCTAATCATGAAACGCGCTTGCAGCCCAGAAACTAGCCCAGACCATGAGCTGAGACAAGAAATTCCGCTAAATGACGAGCGTCCAATTCTCATGAGCCTTAATACGCCTGTCTCTCCGCCAAAAAAGAGATCATCCATCAAATGTGTCAAGGATGGAGATGGAAGAGACTCCATCCCGCCGAACGTATCACAACTAAACACTTCACCCAGCCTCGCTGCCATCGAAGCAGGCCAGGTTGAAGTGATCGACCATCTGAGCACGATTTCCGCAAAGCTCAAAGAATACGTTCGCCCACCTCCAAAACAGTCATTACCACGGCTGCCCATCAAAGAATGGATCGAGCTGTATAGACGAAACGAGCACCCAGAAGGACGTCATTTCGTCATTCATCAACATGACCATCCCATCGCAGGGCCGCATTACGATCTTCGCCTCCAGTTCTCAGAGACTAGCTCTGTGAGTTGGTCGGTTATGTATGGGATGCCTGGGGATCCGAATAGCCAGCGATTAAACCGGAATGCAACTGAAACTCGAATCCATTGTCTATGGGTGGGTTGATGATCTGAGATGGTATAATAGCAATACTTACATCTTCACAGAATCATCTCATTGAAACGGCTTCCTACAAAACGGGGAGTCTTATTATCTGGGATACTGGAGAATATGAAATTCTACCTTATCAAATGGACCAATCTGGCCCGGAGACCGATGATTCTCGATCAGAGAACTCCGAAGATAGTCACGTTGCACCGGAAGAGCAGATCTCAGATAGTGCCAAGTTGCGAGAAGCTTTTCAGAATGTAGGTATATCCCTGTACCATGGAGACACTGAATAGACTCCTCTAACACTGAAACACCAAGCGCAAAATCCGACTCCGACTTCATGGAACCCGTTTACCAAAGGACTACACTATTATTCTGCGGATGGATAAAACAACCGATTTCGCGAGGCCGATCCGCGAAGGCCCCAAACGGCGTCGTCGACACCCATCCAGGCCAACGGTACCACAAGCGCCGTCGACCTCGGACTCTGGATCGCCTTCGCCGCCACCTGGTCAGCAAGAATCAAGTGGGGATCCAACACCGCAACGATCTCAACCCGAGTCTCAGACCGGCCCGGCTAGGCATGCACGTCCAGACGATACCCACACCGCCGACATTGAAATCCAAAGAAACAACGCCTACCCAGGGTCCAACAACACGATCGGCTCGATCCACCAACGGCGGTGGTACCTCAGTTTAGACCGGGAAGCTTCTGGATTTGAGCCGATCATAAGAAATCCAAGTGAGGGGTCGAAGGAAAGAGGCAGGAAAAGAACGTGGATCCCTAAACCCGTCGGACAAGGCTTCGAGCCGTTTTACGTGCACGGACCGGAGGCTGAGCGGAGTATTATTACGGCGCGATTGGGGCGCGACGTCTTGGATGACGAGGCCGTGGATGAGTTTGTGCCGAGACGCGGGTGGAGGCCGGTCCTGCATTAGACGGAGAATGGGTACAAGCTATACAAGTGGGGACGTATGGATTTCGCTGGGATTGGAAGAGGCAAAAGTGAGCAATTGCTCTAACTGCTTAGTGCTTACTCCGTAGAGAGTACAGGATATACTATTCGGCACATGCCGCGCAATACCTCCAATCTCGGAGCCCGGGAGTTCTACAGGGGATGTGCAGCCAAACAGTGACTCTTGAACACGAGATCTGCAGGATATAGTGCATGCGTGTGACTCAATACACAGCCCGAGAGCGAAATCTGTCAGTTAATATTTATTATGAATGCGAGGCCTTTGAGTCACTGGCGGTCTGAGATCGGTCTATTTCCCCCGCTCGATGTCACTATAGCTTGCGCTAGCATGCGCAAGCGTATTCGCTATAGTCGGGGGCTGATAACGCCATGATATTTCTTTTGTCTGCCTTTCTCTCTTGTCTTTCGTTTTTTGTCTCTGAAAAATATGGCCTACTTGGCGACATCTACCTATCTAGCATTGTCGCTAGTTGCTCTGGATAGCATACCAGCCATTCGGAGTATTGCCCACCGCATTGCACGCAAATCGCGCGATTATGAGCCCATCCAACTAGCCAAAGACGTCTACCGCGATGAAGATGGCGAAGCGACCGAGGAATCCCTCCGAGAATTCTCTGATAAATGGCAACGGATTGCCATTGCCCTGTTCTCCATCGCCGGATTTCTGGTCACCCTCGCATCGGCTGTGCTTGCGACATTGAAGCTCGCCATTACCAATTCCACGCCATTGGTATGGCTGCAGTTTGGAGTGTGGGTATGTAGAAACCCCGACAACCGTTCGATTTAAGCCAAGCTTAATAGCTAATTCTTATTCTTTCTAGATTCTGCTCGCTATTCAAGCTGTTGCTTTCTTCGCCGAGCCCCGACCGACAAGCCGATATGTTCTCGGCCACTTTGCTTTCTGGGGCAGTATCATTACCATTGCGGTTCCGGGCATTGAACTGGGCATCTTGATATTCTCCCGACTTGGCCTTCCGCATGGGCGACTTTGGGTCGGGTTGCAATTGGCTCAAATTGCTTGCGCTGCTCTTCGCGCCGTACCATGTGTTCTACTACCGCGTCGTCCTGATATTTACTATGAAGATAAGCTGGTTGAGCGGGAGCTTTCGGTCTCGCTACTCAGCCGCTTCACTTTCAGCTGGGCCAATGGCTTGCTAAACTACGCAGTGAAGCACAAGACTATGGATTTGGACGATATCCCCAGGCTTACAGCATCGAACCGTGCTGCTTTTCTCTGTGAGAAATTCGAAACTGCCAGACAGAACCGGAAATTGTGGGTAGCGATTGTCGCTGCGCATTGGAGATCACTGCTCGTCCAAACTACGCTTAGTCTGACGATTTGCTTTCTGAGCTTTGGACCACAGGTCGCCCTTTTTCAAATCTTGAAGACACTCGAACTGCGCGATACCCCGGATTGGAATGTCGGAGCATCGTATATCTGGGTCCTGGCCCTGGGTGGGTTGTTGTTCGTTGCCTCGAGCGTGGAGGCGTGGCTTATCTGGGTGGTCTATTCTAGACTTGGGGTTCCGATCTACGCAGAGCTGTCAGCAGTTATATTTGCCAAAGCCATGCGACGGAAGGATGTGAAGCATACAAAGAAGTCCAAGCCAGATAATTCCGATAATTCCAGCAAAGGATCAGCCGAAGTCGACGACGATGACGATCATGTGTTAAAGAAGAGCCGCCAGAGTATTATCAACCATGTGGCCGTGGATTCTCGGCGAGTTTCCGACTTTGCCTCTCTCAACTACATTATCCCACAGGCGATCTTCAGAATCATGATCGGTGCCGCCTTTCTGGTCCAAATCCTCGGCTGGCGCAGTGCCTTTGCCGGTCTTTCGGTCTCTCTTCTTGTCACACCATTGAATGTATACGCAGCTAGAAAATATTCGAATGCCCAGGACCGATTGATGAAATCCCGTGACCAGAAGCTGGCGATCGTTACCGAAGTGCTGCAGGGAATCCGCCAAATCAAATTCTCAGCTCTGGAGGAACAATGGCAGGAGCGTGTCCGGGATACGCGAGAAACCGAACTTGGTGCATTGTGGGCTTCTTTTCTTGCTGATATTGGCCTGCTTGCGATCTGGGTTCTCGGTCCCGTCGGATTATCCGCTGTTTCGTTGACTACATACGCCATTATCAATGGTACTTTGTCACCTTCTGTGGCTTTCACGGCTATGGCAGTCTTCAATTCTCTCGAGGTGGCCCTCGCTGTTATCCCGGAGCTGATGTCGATGGGTCTGGAGGCGAAGGTCAGCTCGGAACGTATCGACAAATTTCTGGCTACGCCCGAAAATGTCGTCAATACTGTCCCTGCTGATTATATCGCTTTCGAGGACGTCTCTGCTGCATGGCCTGCGGAGGCAGAAGATATCCAAGATTTAGAGGATCGTTTCGTTCTGCGTGACATGACCTTGAAATTCCCAACGAAGAGTCTAAGCGTGGTATCGGGCAGAACTGGCTCTGGAAAGAGCCTGCTCCTCTCGTCGATCATGGGTGAATGTGATGTCCTCGCAGGAACGATAAAGGTACCCGTTCCACCTCCCATTAAAGACCGATTTGACCACCTTGCGACAAAGGCAAATTGGATTATCGACTCGGCCATTGCCTATGTTGCTCAGACGCCATGGATCGAGAATGCTACAATCAAAGCAAACGTTCTCTTTGGACTCCCAGACGATGCAGAGCGATACCAAGAGGTCATCTTTGCTTGTGCTCTGGAAAAAGATTTTGAGATGTTGCCAGACGGCGATATGACTGATATTGGTGCGAATGGTGTGAATCTAAGTGGTGGTCAACGCTGGCGTATTTCCTTCGCCCGCGCATTATACTCTAGGGCTGGCATACTTATCATGGATGACATCTTCAGCGCTCTCGATGCCCACACAGGTCGTCATGTCTTTGAGCAAGCTCTCACCGGCAAGCTCGGTCAAAATCGAACTCGCATTTTGGTTACTCACCATGTTGCACTATGCCTTCCTCGCACGGACTACTCCGTACTGTTGGAGAATGGTCGTATCAAATATGCAGGTACCATTGATGACCTGAAGGAATCACATCATTTAGAGGATATCCTTGGTAAGGAACATGCCACAGAACAAGCGGATCTTGTTGCAGATGGAGAAGACCGTGAATTCTTTAACGATGAGGAGACAACTCTCCAAAAGGTGATCTCTAATACATCCCATCAAAAACCGAACATAGCCACAAATGGCTCAGCTTCCAACGGAAATGGAATTGCTACTACACAGACGAAACCGAAGAAATTTGTTGAAGATGAAAAACGAGAAACCGGTTCTGTGCGGCTAGCAGTTTACATTTCTTTCTTGAATAAAGGTGGCTCTGTGGTCTATTGGTTGGTGACGCTCTCGGTCTACTTAATGTTTTCGTCCCTCATGGTTGGACGGGTAAGTGCATGAAATCCTATGACAGTCCCCTTGTCATTGTCCTTTATCTGATTCTTATCTATCACAGTCTTGGTGGATCAATGTTTGGACAAGTTCATCCTCCAATACTAAAGCACACCCTGAGCAATACAGTGTCCTATTGCAGCATACTATGCGAGAAACTGCACCGGTCCCACAACATGACGACCTCTATATGTACCTAGGAGTATATGCTGCTATCTCGATCACTGCCTGTATAATAGGGACAGTCCGTTATTACTGCATTCTTTCGGCTTCGGTGCGGGCCTCGAGGAACCTTTTCAATGGCTTGATTTATGCTATCCTCCGCGCGCCACTCCGGTGGCTAGACACTGTCCCATTGGGGCGAATTCTCAACCGCTTCACAGCCGACTTTCACTCAATCGATTCACGAATCGGATACGACATCGGGTTCTTCGTGGGTAAGCTACTAGATGTTTTCGCAATAATGATTGCGGGGATGCTTGTCGACTGGATGGTGATCTTGCTCGGCATAGTCCTGTTGCTCATCTGTCTGAAATTGGCCGTATCCTATTTGGAAGGTGCCCGTCAAGTCAAACGTCTTGAGAGCACTGCGAAAAGCCCCGTGTTTGAGCAGTTTGGGTCTAGTCTCGCTGGCCTGATCACCATTCGTGCCTTCAGCAAGCCAGACACCTACATCGAAATCATGTTCAACAAGATCAATCGCCATGCGCAAGCATGGTGGAACTTGTGGCTGTTCAACCGCTGGCTCGCATTCCGCATGAGCATCATCGGTGCTATCTTCTCAACTGTCACTGCTGGGCTCGTGGTCTATCTGCCGGGTGTGAGCGCTTCACTTGCGGGTTTTGCTCTCAGCTTTGCCCTGCAGTATAACGCTGCAATCACGATGGCATTGAGGCAATACGCTAACATTGAATTGAATATGAACGCCATAGAGCGTGTTATCGAGTATTCCAACATCGAGATCGAGAACCAAGGAGGTGCCGATGCACCTGCGGCTTGGCCCACAGAGGGCCATCTTGAGGTCCACGATCTTGTGGTGGGCTACGCACCGGATCTTCCCCCGGTATTAAACGGGCTCAGCTTCTCAGTGGAGAAGAACCAGCGGGTAGGTGTCGTTGGACGTACAGGGGCTGGCAAGTCCTCGTTGACGCTTGCACTCTTCCGATTCCTAGAGGCACGCTCGGGTCAGATTTTCATCGACGGACTTGATGTCTCCAAGATCAAACTGCACGATCTCCGTAGCCGACTTGCAATCATCCCACAAGACCCAGTGCTATTCTCCGGCACGGTGCGATCAAATCTAGATCCGTTCGATGAATACAGCGATACGGAACTCTACGATGCGCTAGCACGCGTGCACCTCATATCTGAGGCCGACGACGACGAGCTCACCCTCACATCGCGGACTGCCACACCCCGCCAGGCCAGCGAAACGGGCACCACGACACCAGCGACGGTCCAGAAAACCAACTCTAACGCTTTCACCTCTCTCTCTGCAACAATCTCTGAGGGTGGTCTCAACCTCTCCCAGGGTCAGCGCCAGCTGCTCTGT